AGCAGGAATAGTAGAATACTTCAACAGCGAGGGGCTTATGTCCCCAGGTGGTGTAGCATCAGATAGTCCTCTTTGAGAATAAAGGACTTCTCCATCTTCATCACTAAAAATCCCTGTGGTGTGAGGATATTTGAACCGCTTTCTTGGGGGAAAAGTGGCATGAAGCTGATTTGGAGCTACAATCAATTCAACTTGCCAAGGGTTCACCCTCTTCGCGTTTTGCAAAATTTCAGCTTCATCCCATGTGACCTTTACAAATCAAAGGTCCAAATAATAAGGGAACACTAAAACTCAAGAAGAATGTTACAAACAAACTCACTGGAAAGAGCCGTTTCCCAATACTTTAGGAAACACCCATGTATATACCCAAAATTGATAGCCTCAGTTCATGTTGTAGAATCCAAGTCCAAGACAAGGATCCTTTCTGAGAAGACCACTATCCTTTTTCTTTACATGGTTCTTTGTGGAAAATAAACCCGATATAGCCAGTAGATTATATCGACAAGCTAAGACATTGCTAGTATGAATTGTGCACTAACTTCTCTGCATTGTCTTAATTCTGAATCCCATTACAGCTGCATTACTAGTATACATTGTCATAACATTAACAGACAATTGAATTGTCTGAAAGAAAATTTTCTACTCCAAGAAGCTTTGCGCATTCGATCTGACCAATAATTTCCTATGAACATCGGATTGAATCTCCAACGTCACATACTCCGAGAATAGCAAGTGAAATAGACAAATACGGAGAGAAACATCTTATGTACCTGAAGCTGTTTCCAAGGAGATCCACGCCATGGACCAGTTTCCTGAAACGTAGAGGAGATGATCCCCTGAAACCAAGTAATCCGTGATGAGTCCTCCGTCTCCATAGCCATCTTCACCCTCATACCAGGGGCCCAATACACAGCCATTGAGGCTTCGACGTCCTCCGCCTTTACCACGAAGTCCGACCACCCAGCCGTTGGATAATAGACCACATCGAACGGCAGCCCCTTCGCTGCCCTGTCCATCGCCTCAGCCACCGCTTCTGGCGTCAGTTTCCCTTTCCCGACCCTTCTAAACCCCTTTTTCTCACCTTCATTGTCTTCCTTAGCCACTCCACTGATCTGATAATAACAGCTAGAGAAATTATCTCCACCATAACCGCCGTTGCCGGACACAATGGTTCGCCTCACACCGACAAACATCTTGCCTCTCGAATTCTTCATGAAAACGACGGAATCGCCGGCGATCAACTTCTTGTGGTTGACGAACTTGCTCCATCCGGTGGTCAGCAAATGCCGCCTCGGGGTCCCGCGGTAAATATGCCTGAAATTCCACACGACGCCATGGATATCGGTGATCGAGAGCGTCTGAACAGGCGGCTCGGCCTGATAATCTAGAGATGGGAAGACCGAATCAGCACAGAACCGCGGGACGGAGAATCCGCCGCCATTGTTGGCATCCGACGGCGTCAGAATCTTAGCGAAGGTAACAATCCTGTCCTCCTCGGTATCACCATTAAATCCGTCGCATCTGGTGGCATCGAGAGACGCGAACTGCGTGGGAGGGACGGGTTGAAGCACGAGATGAGCGAAGACCTCGTCGGTAACCGGATCAGCGAGTAACTGGACGGAGGAGATGACGCAAGGAACGGGAGGCATGGATGGATGAAGGGAAGAGCTGAGAGCCGAGGAGCAACAATGCTCGACATGGCCTTGAGGGAAGTAGTAAACCCTAGCGCGGAGGGAAGGGATCCAAACGGAGGCGCCGGCGGAAGCGCGCCAGATCTTCGGTTCGACTTCACGGTGGACATCGGCGGCCCCGGCGGTCGCCGAAAACGGTGGCATCCGGCTAGGTTTTGCAGCAGAGAAGGAGTCAGCGAAGAAGACGAAGAAGAAGAGAGGTTGGTACTGTTTGGTTAGAGAGAGAGAGAGAGGAGACCATGTGTGTCTGAGAAGAAGAGTGGGAACGGGCACGGAAGCAAAAGCAAAAGCAGCGAGAGTGATATTATGGTGTGCTATGAGATTGCCCCTGATTTGCTCCGAAATTTACAGTTTTTGCCACGGCAACAAACCCTTTTTACTCAGTAACCCTCTCCTACACGCCGTCCGCTCGCGCGTGCATCTCACTCTCTCCCCCCTTTTTTTTTGGCTTTGTAGTTAATAATCAAATTTAAATTCCTTGGAAAGCTCTTATTAGACCACATATTACGTATATTTAAATGCCCCATTATGAAGAGGTACGATTCATTAGGCAAGAACTTAGTAAAGTTAATTTTTGATGATTTATTTAAATATCGTGTATTTTTAGAAAGGTAGTATTATAACTCAACCAATTTTATTGAATGTGTAAAAGAAGTAGCTTCATTTAAGTGGTTTCTTGAACCCCAAAAAAACAAAATGGATAATGGGTTTTTTTCCCCTTGTAATCTAAGACTTGTTCTGATCAATTTTTTTTGGTAATGTATATCCATTTTTTTAAAAAAAATGCAGCGTGTACTAATCAATAATCAAAACGCCTGTCCATTTTCACTCTAAAAAAATATTAATATTAAGTCTATTCAGAGAAATCAAATCTAAATCTACGTTTGTTTTTTCTGTTTTATCTCCAAACAAGAAAAAAACAATAAATACAAGAAAAAAAATTCAGAGAAGGGCTTGTCACCGGGAAATATCAAAGGGTGAATAAATAAAAAAGAAGATCACAGCAAATCTAAAATAACTAATTGATAAATGCTCTATGAATTAAAAGAGTGAAAAATAAAATAACGGAATAATCACTAAGGAAGCGCGTGAGGGAATGAGGGGTGGGGGGGCGGGAAGGGGTTCGGGTGGGCCGTTCGAAGAATCAGTGAAGTGATTGTTGTTGTAAAATCATAGTAAATCTTTTTTATTTATTTATTATTATTATTACTACAAGGAGATATTTTACAAAAAAAATAAATAAAAATACACCTGAAACATCGTACGGTACGTAATACGCATACACACCGAGGGAGTAATATTTTTTAAAAAATAATTTTTTACTTTTAAATATTTTATTCGATTCAATTTTTGTTTTTTTAAATATTTGTCATTCAAAAAAATTTATATGGTTCGGTTCAAAAACGTTATCAAATTTTTGGTTCGATCGGAAAGACATGTCTATTCGTAAATGCCGAGTACTCGGAACAACCCGGCTGATAATTTTTTTTCTTTTTTTAAAAAAAATATTTAATAAAAAAAATCATAGAAAAGCATAAAATATTTGATTTTTATAATAAATGTGGTACGATTAATTAATCCGGTGAAACGTACAGAATCTGGCAGGAAAATAGATGAAATCTGAAGAAAAACACCTCCAAGCACTTGCCTTTAAATTTAGGGTTTTTAGTAAAAAAATCAGGGGGGCTGATGTCGTTTGTTGCAAAATTAAAAGGTATGACTTGCCACAAGGGTTTTGTGATTCGCTTATTAGATACGCCTTAGCATAAATATATATATATTTATATACATAATCTAATGGCACGTGGGAGGGTTTGGTAACTGATAGATTTATATTAAAAAAAAATTCTTACATTTATTAATATCCGGTGAAATATTTTTTTTTTATGTTGTCGTTACATGAGTGATGATGTTGAATGCTGCGTCGTATCAATGTGGTGTGATAAATTCGCATATATTTAAATGATTAACGGCGTAATCTATCCATGGGCAGGCCCAACAAACTGGGTTGGGTACAAATAAAGATTATGGGCCGTTAAATTGGGCCGCTTCGGGTCGATTCTATGAAAGCCCATAATCCGCACACCACGCCGTTTTAGTTCGACGAGAACGACACGCATTCTTCTCTCGTTCGTGTGACTCCACAAACTACAAACATTCTTTCCCTTTTCCATGGTGACTCCGTCGATCCACAACATTCATTCAATTAGGTCTATTTATTGAATATATATATTATATAATGCAATAATTAAATTGTATAATATGTTTTCTTCTTGATAAAAGGAATTATATAATATGTTCTAAAACGAATATTTTGTTTTGTTGGTAAAAGGCTTTAAAATTAGATATTTTTTGACAAAATAAGAACCAAATAAAGTTTACAATTTCACTTTCAATATTACACTATGAATCAGAATCTGATAAATGTTGTAAAGTCATAATGAAATTAAATTATTCACATCCATTACAATCCTCCAAAATGGTAATAATAAAATGTTGTCTAGTCAGGCAATATTATAATCTCGCAAAATTCGATTAGGAAATATAATAAAGATATTTTGGTCCAATTTATTTAATTCAAAATTGTTTTTTATGACTATTTTTAAAAATCTAATTTTCTTGGATCTATTTCCATAAATTTTATATACTATATGGTATTTGGAAATAAGATGTTTACTAATGATTTAAGCTCTAGATTTTGTTTCTGCAAAGCTGTTTAATGCATGAATCACATAGAAATTAATGTTAATGATATATTGGAGATATTTTGAGTTATTTATCAGGAAAATATAGATTTATTTCCGTATTGGTTGGATTTTTTGCTACTCTTAAAAATACAAATATATTAAGTACAAAATAACATAGAATAATTTTTTTTAAAAAAAGGGTGATTTGTATTTGTATATTTGAAGTAAATGACTTGACAAATTAAATTGGTATGAAATCAATAAAAAAACACAAAGAAGGAACAAACGCATTGTAAGTTCCATGTAGGCAAACAGTTATTAATTTTCTTTCCCATAAAAACCTTTCCTTTGCAAAATTTAAGAGCCTTCAAATTTCCTTCCTTCCTCCCTTCGAATGTGACCCTCTCTCGCTGTCTCTGTCTCTGTCTCGGTCTCTGTGGCAATGAAGAACAAGGTCCCTCGAAAGCTTTCGTTGGCATGGCTTCCTCTTCTATGCATCTCTTTCTTCGCTTTCGGAGCAATCCTCACCTCCAGGTATAACAAGTTCTCTCTTCCTTCGCATTCGTCTGGTGAATTTGATGATATCTCCGTGTTTCTACGCAGTTTCTGTTGGATTTTGTTGATGGGTTTTTTGGTTTTTGTTGCATCCGGAATTCACATTTCAGATTACGGGATTCGACGCCGTCATCGGATTCCGGCAGTCAGCTCATTTCCCAGCACATGGGTGATCACGAACTTCAGATAGTTTCTGATGACTGTTCTAATAAGAAAGTACGTTTCTTCATGTAACTGAATCGCTTGCTTTCTAGACTTCATCTGCGTTTTGATTGGCACCGTGTTAATGTTCGATAAACGGTACAGTGTATGTATAGATTACCAAACGATCAGTTCATACACTTTGTGAGTTTCTTTGGCTGATTTCACGTTTACTGATTGATGATTAAATGTAGAAAACATCACAAGATAAAGATGTAATGGAGGAAGTTTTGAGAACCCAAGAAGCAATACAGTGAGTGAAGATGATTCCTTGTAGACTCAACTTGATTTTCATCAATTATAATACTTTCACTGATCATATGTTGTGCATCTATGGGGATTTTTCTGAGGATGGACAGGTCGCTGGATAAGTCGGTCTCTACGCTTCAGAGGCAGCTCTCTGCTACTTGGAGCTCCAAAGAGATCGGAGATGGCTCAGGAACAATCTCTGGATCCGAAGGAAATCCAAGGAAGAAAGTTTTCGTGGTTATTGGGATTAATACCGCTTTTAGTAGCAGAAGTAGACGCGATTCAGTTCGAGAGACATGGATGCCTCAAGGTACTGCAGTTGTAGTGATTCTCATTCTGTCTTCCATACATTTTGTCTCTAATTTAGTGATGTTGTTTGTCTTTATGGCAGGGGAAAAGCTTGAAAAGCTGGAACGGGAGAAGGGGATTGTCATCAAGTTCATGATTGGCCACAGGTGAGTCACAGAGATTTTGCATCATGAAAAATGTGATGATCTTTGAGGTGAACGTTTTGTATAAAAGATCATTAATATTTGTCAACTGTTTCTACATTGCGTATATATGCGTGTATATTCATGGAATGCATATCATCTGCTTATGGGATCACGGAATTTTTGGCAGTGCGAAATCGAATAGTATTTTGGACAGATCCATTGATTCAGAAGATGCTAAACACAAAGACTTCCTTAGGCTGGTAAGGCTACTGATACGGGTTATTCTTAGATTTCAAAGAAAGGAAACGGTTTCTTGAAATGTTTTTTGGCTACATTTTCTTGTATGATGTAGGAGCATATTGAAGGATATCACGAACTGTCTGCAAAAACCAAAATTTTCTTCTCCACTGCAGTTGCAAAGTGGGATGCAGAGTTCTATGTCAAGGTTGATGATGATGTCCATGTCAATCTTGGTAAAGACAAAAAGAAAAACCCTTTCCAAGCATTTCTCATTATGACATTTTCTTTATCAAACAAACGAGGAGTCTGTGAGATATAGCTAAACATGTTTGTTGTTGCCTCTTTTTGCAATTAAGGTATGCTAGTTTCAACTCTTGCCCATCACCGTTCAAAGCCGAGAGTCTACATCGGGTGCATGAAATCGGGACCTGTGCTTTCTAAAAAGTAGAATCCTATTCGGGTGTTTCTTGGTTCCTCCTGAGATCTTTGAACTCTCGGGTTCCCATCTGTTTGGAGTTTTGCCACAACTGTTGTTTTGAATTATCCAGGACTGTCAAGTACCATGAGCCCGAGTACTGGAAATTTGGAGATGAAGGAAACAAATACTTCAGGCATGCTACCGGGCAGATTTACGCCGTCTCAAAGGATCTTGCCACATACATCTCCGCCAACCTGTGAGTAACTCCATGAATTCACTGTTCAGTTCGTGATTTAGTAGATAGAAATGGCGCACACATTGGAGTTTTCATATAGGTCTCATTTTCTTTCGGGGCATGAACTTATTGTGTAGGCCGATTCTGCATAAGTATGCAAATGAAGATGTGTCTCTCGGGTCATGGTTCATCGGTCTGGAGGTCGAACACATCGATGACCACAGCTTCTGTTGTGGGACTCCACCTCGTAAAGCCTCTTGATCTAATCTAACTTGGTGTTGTGTTTAGCTCTTTCCTCGCCTGATCTCCGGTCTTTTTTTGGTGTTCTTTTATAAAAGACTGCGAATGGAAGGCATTTGCGGGGAACGTGTGTGTAGCCACGTTCGATTGGAGATGCAGCGGAATCTGCAAATCAGTGGAGAGAATGAAAGACGTTCACGAAATGTGTAGTGAAGAAGAAGGAGCTGTTTGGAATGCATTTCTCCACCCGAAAAACACTCTCAAATTTACAGTAGACCAGAAGAATGAGAATAAGAATAAGAAGACACAAGGAGAAGAGGAAGAAGAAGAATTTGTAGGGGATGAGAGACGTATACAACACTGATATTGTTGAAGGCTTAGATGGATGGTTCTACATATAGATTGCCATTTTTGGTTAGAGAGAGGCTTTCTCATTTACCTTTACCAGTTGAACACCATTATTCACCATAATCTTGCATAGAATGAACTATTTAAAGGTCAAATATCATTTTCACTGAGAATATGATTCTATTGATTTGATTGTCTAAAATACGACCAATGTGGCTTAGCAAGGTACAAGAAAAAGGGGCCAAGACAAAACGTGTGAAGAAGATCCTAATTTTCCCCGTCGGATTCCATCCTCGTGAATATTTACAGTTGCGTATTTTCTTTTCCCCCCCCCTTTTTTTTTTTTACAAACAGCAATACATTGACTCTCAGTTAACCACAAAAATCTGAAAGCTTCCCGAATTCAGGCCTTTTTTCTTCAGTTGCTATGCTCAAGACATTACCTGTCATAAGCTTTTCTATCCTTTCAGCTGACCTTCGACTCAGTCCCCACAAATGGCGATAACCTTCGCCTTGGTCCCACCGGGGCTTTCGCTTAACTCGGTGGCTCGATGCCCACAGAGGAGGAAAACAGAATCCACGAGCCAAAGGGTCTTTTTACCCATCTTTTCCCGAGTTGTCATCATCATCATCATCCTCCCCAGTGTCCTCCTGGTTGGCTGCCGGCTTACCATCCTCTTGGAGGCAATCCACAGGTACATAGAAATACCCTTTTGGCAGACGTCGATTCTTCATTGTCGCTTCATCTGATGTCATCACCATCTCTTTCGCGAATGTTTCTACTTCCTGCCCTTATCAACAACCCAAAACAAATCATGAACAATGAAGAGTTCCATTAAGAGTCACAAACGAAACAACAAACCAAACGGAGTGGGGTTGTGCTCACCTTCTTGGGTTTTCCATCTCCTGAAACAGTAGGCGAGACTATATAATGTCTACGAGGAATTGTCTTCCCGGAAAGCGTTTTTCGTTCAGTGGGCTTACGGGAAAACCGAGTCTTGGAGGTCACACTGTCATCGTTTTTCTGATCCAAATCCATTAAAATGGGACCCTTTCCTCGGCGCTTCACAGAGAGAGTGCTGTCAATAGTTACATCATCTGACCTCTGTATCGCCTCGCTCCCAGACTTGTTACTGTCTGGATGCCCTTTAACTGAAGTTGTAGCTGAGTCTGAAGATACTTCCGGAGGGAAAAGCCTACGGCTTGAAAGTAATGAGCGGACAACATTGTCTCTTTTGACAGCAAGTATTTCATGTGAGGAAATGACGAGCTCACGCTGCAAAATACAAAGTAAAATGTCAAAATCGATGTGCTAGTAGAAATAAGGGCCCAACAAATGTGAGGAAACAATGTGTTTGTATCAGAGTCACAGACACCGCAGGCCAACTATTCCAGAAATGGAAACTTTTGTTTACCTTTAGTTTCTCACGCTTGACTATCCGTTCACACAGAAGGCGTAACCTCTCGAGCTCAACCTGGAAGAGATCAGAAAATTCTAAGACTTCACATTCCACAAGAGATGCATATTTTGCAACGAAATGACCAAAACAATCTGCCTCTTCCAGAAGCCCTACCCTATATTGCTTGAGATTTTTCATCTCCTCTGCACCATGTTTCTGAGTTTCAGCCTGCACAAAGAGTCAGACATACCCAGCATTAGGAAATGCAATAACATATCATATATAGTACTTGAGAGTGAGAGTAACCACGTATAAAGTTACTGGAGGCTGCTAAAACTGTTCCTAGTCATCATTGTACTAGTATATTGGTTTATTTGCAAGCAAATCCAGCATGCTCATTAGGAGTATGAGAAATGTGATACACACCATCTCAGTGATCGGCCCATTAAAAAGTTAGTAAACGAAACAAAAAACCAAACCTTTGCCCTCGGCTCCACACTGTGCTTCTTGCAGTATGCCTTATGTGGAAGCTTCCCACCACCACTCATATAGAGGCCAGCACTTCTGGCACAGGAAGGATGAAATGCTGTCTGGCAATTACCATAACTACACTGCAAACGGAAAAAAAATCACTTTTGTGGCAATATTTCATAAAAAGCACCTTAGAATGGAGAGAAAGAGTGAATGGAATTTACCTTGATGCATGCACCATGTTTCTGTCGGCATACACAACAAATGTTCATGTTCATGGGTACAGACTCCTGAGGTAGCATAAAAATGTTTAAGGTTAGCCTACTTACAATTACAAAGCATGAAACAAAAATGTGATTTTGTAATGCGCAATAATAAACCCACCATTCCCTGGACAGGATCCACCTGACCCCTTCTGAAGCTCGATTCCAAGACCCACTGCATGAAATTAAAATACAAAAGGTTACTCGCAATCTGGGACCCTGCCTGCTTATAGCTGCTTTCAAATAATAAGCAAATCTCACCTCAGCACAAAATCCATGGACCCATTGCCCATTCGTGGCTTTCCTAAAAGCACCAGTTGCGCCACCACAGAAAGCACACTCTGTAGAAGAGGTCTTTTCCCAGAAATTGAGAGGCCCAGAAGATCTAGATGAAGACAATTCCAGACATAACTCACAGTACCAAGGACCAGAAGATTCCTTAGCAGATCTGTAGCAATCCAAGTGAACTGCAACCTGTAATCATAGGAGCCTGATCACATAACATAATACACAAGCATATGACAACCCTTACATAGGAAATGCTGACTGGATAAACAAAAGGAAGTAGATCAATGGAAATGCTTGTGACCTTGCAGCTGCAGCAAACTAATATCAAGTTCCGTATAGTTTCAGACCGTCTGCAGATGTCACAAGATCGTGAATTTTCTACTGAAAAATCCGGTGTACATTGATCCGACAGCTTTTCCGATGGTGTCCCCGAGAGAGCCGTCTTCAAAAGTGTTTCTTTCGCCTGAGGAACTGGGTGAGAGACACCACCAGCCTTGCGCCTAGAGGCGCTCATCTGCGCAAAGTTCTACAAACCAATTAGAATCTTAAAGAACAGAGATATGGAGCAGTCAAAATTATAATAAAAATAGAGAGAAAAAAAAATGTAGAAATAAGAACCTCCTGTTGTGCTAGAGCAGCCTGGGCTTCCTTGTGTCTTTTCTCTTTCCTACCTTGCTTCCTTGCTTCTCTCAGGTCATAGAAATACTTGTTAACAAGGACACAATCCCATCTCTGTCCTTGCTCCTCATCTATCTCCAATGGCAACTTCTTAGCAACTTCAAAGCCTAAATTGTCTGAGGAAAAAGGACCAATTAGCAAAACACTAAAAATCATGTTATGCAGAAAGGAGGAAGAAGTCTAGCGAGCCTAGAAAAACACACAAGAAAACTATAAAAAAAAATATCACCACAGAGTTGCATTCTTATAGCTGCATTGCCAATTAACCGAAGCTGAGAATATAACAGTTCCCCTTCCACTTCATCTTCAGGAGCAAGATCCAGTATACCCAAATTGCTAGCTTTAGATAACAGACAAAACGTGTTGTTGCAATCTGGGTGCTGATTCTGGTGATTGCAACAGATAGTGCCACTGGAAAAACTGTGAGGATGTTTGACTTCTCCTTCAGAACCTGCCAAATGCTTTACAGTTATAAATTGTCAAAAAGGGTGAGACATGATTAAAAAAAAGTCTCTACCATCAGATTTGGAAGTATTCCCATTGGCATCAGAATCAATGCTGACATTTGGAGTCACACCCTTGCACATTTGTGACAATTCTCTGCGGATATATGGATGAATATTAAGCCCAGAATTTGTTTCACTATTCCTGTATCAAAACAGGTATAAGGGTTTATGGCCTGCCAGTTTATGTAATCCAAAAAATCAGTATGTTCTGTGTCTGCCCAAATGCAAACCCGGAACTTACAGAAGATCCGAGATAGCCCTTTGATGATTACGAGAAGGGTTATGCCCCAGGGAGAAAGTATTCATCAGGGTGACTCCCTCAAGACGACTGAAAATTGATGGTTTGGCTTGATTATCTAAACAGCAGACAATAAGTAACATCAGCAGCAGAGATATGGGAACATCCAACATACAACTATGAAAAAAAAAATTCGAAAGATATCAGGGTTAAATAGAATCAGCCAACAAAATTATCGTTCATGGAAAGTAAAATGTACAAAAAGGACATTTCCCACCAACTAAACAACACCACAAATATGCTGACAGACTGGAGAGGACAACTCCGTAGGATCCAAGATAAAACAGATGAAAAGTTAAAAAAAGAAACATACCATTATGGTTTACTGAACTCTTCTCATGATGTTCCTTCCCATCAAGCACAATTGATTTCTGTAGATGAAGAACACGACAGTTATGTTGTGGGGCAAAGAAAAATATATATTTATGCTCAACCACACAGAAAGACACACAGAAAAAGTTGGAAAACAGAAAAACGAATAACATAAATGATAAGCAGCCTCTCTACAGACAAGTATCTGCAGTTAAACAAGATTATTGCTGAGCAAGTGTATTTTTTTATGAGATTACCTTGTCTTCAGAATGTTCAGATGCCAGATCCACACTACTCTCTTCTTCCTTGATTAGTTCGGCTTTAACTTCATCATCCACAATGCCATTACCAAGGCTATTATCAGCATATGCACATATTATTGCATAATTAGTATTATTATTATTATGTCTTTTGCTTTTATTTTTTCGCTCTGAATAGACTGACTCTGTAACTGCAGGATCGGAGATATCAGATTCTCGCATTGCTATGTCCTCTGAAAATACAGCTGTCTTGGACTCAGACTTGATTGAGATATTGTCATTACTTTTGACGTTTCCACCTTTATGCCAAGTACAAATATAAGCATGCTTGCCAAGCCATTTGATTATTTTGCCTCGCAACTCAGGCATCAAGTTCCCATCCTACAGGTGAAAACTGGGAAGTCAAGTTTATAGAATTTAACAAAGAGAACACACAGCAGAACCAACAAATATGACACTTGTAGAAACTGAAGATTACAAGAGTGAAGATTGTGCATTACTGTAAGTTTGGAAGACAATGCATCAGGAGTTATGCCAATCTCTGCAGCCACATCCTTAACGTCCACTTTCCCTCGATCAATTAACTAAAAGGCAGTGAAACGGTTAGCAATGGAGTCAACAGGTATAGATAATCAATCTTTTAGAATATATAAATCTGTGAAGCACCTTTTTCAGAATCAATCCAAAACTAAGAGACTCAGATAAAGCTATTTCATTGAAATCGCTTTTCTCAGACATCCCTGATTCTACACTGTCCGGCATAGACCCGCTCAATTTCGAGTGAGGTGATTCCGTCTCTAGTAATTCACTATTTCCTGATATATCGAAATTCGTACCAGACCTTCCTGCATTAACTGACATATTAGCATCAATCAGGTGGCCTTCCTTAATAAATTTTGAAGGAAGATGAGAGACAAGAGAACGACTGTCAGCAATATTACTTTCTCCTCCTCTCCGCAGAGACCTTCCACCCTCCTGAACATCTGAATGCTTAGAGCAGAAAGCCGTCAATTCAACCTGCAAAATTGCATCACATTAACAATGAAAATAACAGCATTAAGATCTCTAATGTCTTCTGTGAGTGACAAGACTTACAATATCACGGTCATGTTTTCCCCAGACCTCTAGCCTATTTCCTGCCTCCCTAGCACATGTAGGGTGAAAAGATGTTCGGCATGTTCCTAAGATAAAGACGTTACAAGAAACCGTCAACCATATGACAGAACAAGCAACTAATACCATATGACAGTCTTCATAAAATTATCTCAAACAGACGAGTAAATGCAGAATATAGCAATACAAATGGACTGCATATCGACAGATCATTGTCAACTGCAAAGTCATTGACGCAACTAGATAGCCTGGTGCATGTAAAGCAAGAACCGAAGCCAACAGCATAATAATGCACAGATCAACATTAATTTCTAATACAACACAGGCTATCCATATAATGACAGAGCCTTTTTTTTACAGAAGCCGACCTAATCCATTCTACTGCCATGAGCCTGTTATGTCACACAGATTATACAATTTCATTCAGAGAACGGATGTAACTTATGTAAAACAAACCACAAAAATAAGGCAGGCCTATCAAAAAGCTCAGAGGAGCACAAACAGCAATACTTTTGAGACAAGAATTTAGCCATGCTCGGATTCGGAAGCAGACAAGATCCATGGGATGCGAAAGCAGTAAAACATACCATTACTACACTGAATGCAAGCACCATATTTCACCTTGCACAAGTTACACACCAACTTCTTTCGAGTTTCTTTTATTCCCGAAAAATTCAAAATAGGTTCCATTTTCTTCAAGTCTCCTATATACAGCTCGGGCATCCACTGAGAACAAAACAGATGAGCAAACTCAGCAAGCCCTCCATTCTCAGTATTTGTAACAACAGGTTTCAAGGCACCACCCTTTTTTGGACACAGCACACAGGGTCTTTCAAAATCACTTTGACCATTCTTCTGCTTACACCAAGTGCACAACCACGATTTATCTACATCCTCATGCACACCGTAGCATCTTTTATGAACTGTTGCCTTGCAGGAATTGCAAACGATGAATAGGTCAGGATACTCCTTGGCATCACCAGTGCAGCAAAAGTCACATAACAACACATCCCCTTCAGAAGGACAGACAACCATTAGTTTTCTTAAACCTGCATCACTACCCAGAAGTCTCAGCTTTTTCGAAGGCCTTTCTGTTGTCAACAAAATCCTATCTCTACAACCTAAAATCCATTCTAAACTACCAGAATAATCTGTCTCAGAACAGATGTTGTCGGGATTATCATCCCGCTGCACGCTTTCAGCCCCTGCATTGTCAATATTCATTGGCTGTTCAACATCTTCTTTGACCGTTTCTTCTTCAACATAACCTTCGTGTACCTCCTCTTCAACACAATTATTCGCTTCTTCCCTAACAACATCATTTGCACTAACAACATCCTCATTCTTCACAAGTTTTTCAGTCCCATCAATTTCACACTGTCCCGTCCTAAAGGGTTCGCATCCCATTAATGGCACTGAAAAGCAATTCCTAGAACATAAAGATCGAAAAGACGCCAAACCCGACAGAGTTTCTATATCAGGAAAATCTATGTTCCTAAAGTAATCTTCGTGCTCGACCCAAATGCTCCCAACTCGCAACTTCTCCCCTTGCCTCGACGTCTTCTTCTTCTTCTTATAATCTGTACCAGAATGAGACTTCTTGTGCCGTTTCCTGCTATCAGAATGGTTCCACAAGTTCGCTAACCCAATGGGCAGAGTAGGAACACTTAGCCCCGAAGTGGACCCATCTTCAGGAACATCAAATGGCGACCTCTCGCACAGAGTTTTGCTCGCCTGAGCTAAGAAACCAATTTCCGGCGAACCCGAGTCCTCGACGGCGTCGCCATTGCTCCACTTCTCCTTGAGGGACGACCCGCGAAATGGGCGGTACGGCCTCTCCCCGGTACCGCAACCTCCGGCCGCTCCCCTACCCATCATCTTCTTCGGCCGCTGGCATGGGTCAACGTTCATAACAGACACAACTCACTCACACAATCACCCGCCAAGTCCATACAAAGAAAAGTCTTAACCCTAACCCTCAAGCCCCAGCCTCTAAGACGACTACGACCCCAATTTCCTCCTCGCTCACCTCCCAGAGAACAGGAGTAGCCGAAGAATCAAAACCCTAACCCTAATCCTAGCCTAGCTTGCGCACCAATCTTCACGCCAGAGGAATTCAACGACAAAGTCAGAAGAGGAGATTAGGGTTTCTTAGAATTTGTCTGGTTCATGTTCTTTCGAATCCGCGCCACGACTGGTTTCGGTTCTTTTCTCCAGAGATTTTCGCGTTATTCGCAGGCAACATGGCAGAATTTTTTCCCATTTTGAGGATATGATAGGGAGTAATTAGGCATAGGATAACACTCGTGCGCCTCATCATCTCTAAACAGGTGTCTTGTTTTCATTGGTCTAATGACTCACGTGGCACGTTTGAGTTACACTTTTCCCTTATTAGGCTCTCATTTCGTGTGATATTAGCTTTAATTTTGTTTAATATGATGGGAAAATCTCAATTGACAAATAAAACCCTGACGTAGCATCCGATATCATGCGTCGCAACTTCCCGGTATCACACATCACCGTCCACGTCACAAATCTATTATCTATTTCAAGTATTATTTTTTTTTTTGGCGCATACATATCATCGAATAAAATTATCACGAGGAAATTAAACGCAATGAAACATTTGGATAATTGGGTATAACAGGCCTGTTAGATTACGGCCCAAGAAAGAGCCCAACCCAACGTAGCGTGAGATATAGCCCCGATATGGTATTTTGGCGATACAAACACTATGGCGTCAAAATGACGACATGAGATGAGAATCTAAAACTCGTTTAAAAATCAAATGAAAAGGCCGGCCTCGTTGCGTACGACAATCTTCAGAAGCAATCGCTTTTTCCCTTTTTTCCCCCTCGAACATCCGCGAAGATCGGAGACCTCATCTCCTCCGACCGCCGTGTTCCGCCGCCGCTGTCGTGTTCGTCTTCCGACACTTCCGTCTCTGTCGTCCCTGCATCTCTCATCACATTATCCTTCGGTGTTCGTCATCTGGTTCGCGGAATTTCCAGGTTGGGTACGCTGATTCCTTTGATCCTTAAGTTTTAGAAGAAAGATCTATCTTAGATGGTCTTCTGGACCTTCGTTTTTAGCGAGATCGCTGTGATGCGTTCTGTGTGTGTGTCGTGGAGCATTGCGCCGTGTAATTCGTTTTCGATCTCATATCTCGAGTTGAATTCGCGTTTTCCGTATTGGATTGATGCTGCGTTATAGTTTGGAGCACGAATGCGATAGAACCTGTTCTGTCCGTATAACAAATGAAAAGCATGTTTCATCGTTGAGTTCTGTTACCAGATTTTGCTTCACAGATCCGTAACTTTGCGTTTCTTAGGCTTTGATCGCCATTTGCAGATCCAGTTCACGCGCACTTCATCTCCTACAAAATGCGCTATCTGGGTTTAGTTTGCTCTTGTTTTTTTTCTGAGTTAGATGTTCGAATTTCGTAGGTTTGATTTGTACCTGATGGGGAAAACCAACAAAGAGAACCACAAAGCGAAAACTTCGACTCCTCATCCGCTGTTATCTTGCTGTAAGAAAGTGGGAAAGAAAAGAGATTCAGAGAAAGAAGACACGAAAGATTCAAGCCAGAAAGAGTGGACGGGATCAACCTGCCCGATATGTTTGGAGCGTCCGCACAATGCAGTGCTTCTCCTCTGTTCATCGTACCACAAGGGATGCCGTCCTTACATGTGTGCAACGGGCAGCCGTTTTTCCAATTGCCTGGAGCAATACAAGAAGACATACAGTAAAGAAGAGAACACAGCCCGACCTGAACTTTGCTGCCCTCTTTGCCGTGGTCAAGTCAAAGGTTGGACCGTGGTGGAAAACGCCCGTCAGTACTTCAACTCCAAGAAGAGAGCTTGTATGCAGGAAAGCTGTTCCTTTGTTGGAAGTTTCCGCAAGCTCAAGAAACACATGAAGGAAAAGCACCCGCATTCATGTCCGAGGGCTGTCGACCCGGCTCTGGAAGCCAAATGGAAGAAGCTGGAGAATGAGAGAGACAGAAGAGACACGATAAGCACGATAATGTCATCGACACCAGGTGCAATTGTGTTTGGAGATTACGTGATAGAGCCATATAACGACACTGCTTATGGAGAAGACTACAATTCCGATGACGCTTTCAGTTTCTTGGATCTGAATCCATGGCAGAGGCAACGACCCCGTCTCCGCTTCCTTGATTTGGAAACAGACGACCTCGCCACCTCTTCTCGCTCTGTTCCTCTACCCAGCCCTTCTCTTCGCCATTTGCTATTTGCGAGGAGCCAATTCAGTCGTAGAGGCAACCGAAGCTGATACAACTGCCAAACATTGTAGGAGCAGTGTAAATGTGTATCCATTTCCCATGTTGTTTCCTTGTAACTATGGCATTTGTTTTTCTCTGTTCTACATTGCTCTGTGCTCTGGCATCATATCATATGATCTCTCTTCTTCCTTCTTATGTATGCATTTGTGTAGTTTCCTTCCTGAAACTTTGTTAAAACAGAAGAAAAAAAGCTTCATTTCGGATTAGGAAAAAGCTATTTATACTCCTTGGAAGATATGTTTATGTTTATTTAAAAACAATTGGGAGAAATTCATAAGATGTAAAAGATAGGGTTAAAAAGAAAATGAGAACAAAATAGAAGGGTTGAAATGAAAATACCCAAAAAGTCGGAAACGAATGCTTTTGCTCTTTCATTGTGGCTCTTCTTCTTTTTTGCTCTTTCGTTGTGGCTCTTCTTCTCCGTCGGGAACAAAACGGCCGTATCGCCACGTCGCCATTTCCCGGCGAAATAACCGGAAAAACGATACTTGGAGTCCTTCCATCACTCTCCTTAAAACTTTATCTTCTTCTCCTTCTGATGCTGCCATTTTTTGTTCCAAATCATATCCATAACTGTCTCCGCCGTCTCCTTTCGTTTCACCGGCGAGTCTCGCCGCCGCCCTGAACTCTCGATCATGTGTCAGGAGACGCGCCTTCCGATCGCTGCCACGTGTCCTTCAGGCTCATCCGTCGACCTCAGATTTTCCTTTTCCCTGATCGTTATTAGTATCAGGAAAAAAAAAAGTTTTTTTGGTCAAAGACTCGGAAAGCATGTTCGAAATCTGCGATTTTATGAATGACATCAGGGAGCAAACAAATGGTGCAAGAGAGCTTTCTTTCTATAATGATATGCCACGTGGTAGCACCTCACTCGACATCCTTTATTTTAAAAATGAAAAATGAAAAATGAAAAAATCTCAACAGGTCTTTGGGCCCTTGGGCTCTTATTGGGCTCAATCGCGTTACTCACATGACCCAAATCAACGGTATCTTAGATTGCACACTGCAAGATTCTGTATTATAATATATACATACATATATAAATATATATATATATATATATATGTTAAAATTACCATAGAGATAATAATGCAAGAATCGAGTTTTTATCCATTTTAAAAAAACTATAACTTTTTAGAGAATAAAATAATTGCGAAAATGAGGTTTTAGCATATGCAATGCTAAAACATGACATGCTCGAATGTGATATTGTGAACTAGATAGTTGAAATGGAATATTATTTCTATGTTGATTTAAAGTGACATTTCATAAAAAAAAAACGTTACAATATATTATGAAACTGAATTAATTAATAAGATATTATTTATAGCAAATTTATCTTTTTTTTTTGTCTTGATCATTGTGAAAGTTCTTAATTTTTTCTATACTTTTTTTTCCATTTTAATGTAAGATATATATGTGTGTATGACATATTCATAACATAGGTGTGTATGTGTATAGTATATACTAAATATCACCCACCAAAAATTATTTTAAGCTTTGACATTATTAAAATGCTGACATGATTCTCACCAACACCAATCATCCTTTATCAAGACTGGTAACTAATAATAAAGTAACTAGTAATATAACAAACTAACCCTTCACTAAAAAAATCAAAAACAAAATTAAAAACCCATTAACAAGGACAAAAATATGACAAAACACTTAAGTTATTTCATTGGAGAATATTAAACCCTTAATAAGTTATTTCATGAATATTAAACCCTTAACTGTAAAAGGTTAACATCAGATATTTTAACAAAATAATCACTTGGAAAGTATATTATTCAATTATTTTGATATGGCGTTAAGATTTATGATCTAACATCATATAATTTTTATAAATGAATAATATATATATATATATATATATATATATATCATTTGTATTTTACACAAATTCCTCGGAGAATATTTACATAATTCATATACATTACTATCCATAGTTTAGAGATTTCTTTCGTCTAATTAAGCAAATGAATTGGGGTGGTGTTGGAACATGCAACACCTTTTTATTTAACTTTAAGGCAACGATTAAAAAATGTAATTATAATATAATCATGTGATAAAATAAAAATAGCGCGCATATATGCATTCGGCAGTACCTTGGGTAGGCTATATGTGTCAATATGGCCCATTGCCACCATGGAGGTTCTAGTGTTTTGCTTCATTTCTTTGCCCTGAATTTAAAATTTATAAACATATATAATTATTATTTATAATGATTTTCGTAAATAATTGTCACATTTCCTAGGAATCCATGATAGTGTTATGACAACATGCGTCTGATTCACGTAGTTCCTGTATCTCCTCCTATATACGTATATGTATATATAACGGAAAAGATAGTCGAGTTTCGCCATGAAAATAATTATTTTAGTTTTCGAAATAGAAAAAATCAACCGCCATGAAAATACCTCGTATAGTTAATATATTTAGTTTTCGAATCCATTACTATTGCAAACTTCAAAATTTAATTAAAAAAAAAACTCAAAAGAGATTATTCACATCCAATTTTCTTTTTCCATTAAATCAGTCCATAAACGGCTTAAGTGGATATGTTGGCCCAACGTATAAACATACCATTGTATGAATTTAATATGTCGTAAGAATATAACAGCACTTGCTTTTAATCGAAACACGACAAAAAGACATATGATTACGTAATCATCAGGCATAATCTGTGTTTTTATCTTTTAATGGCTGGTTTATATATATATATATTATATATATATATACACACACACACAATATGTAATTTATAAATTGGAATTTCGTAAAATGGATGCAGAGCGAAGGAAAATGGCTCGAGGGGTCACGAAAGGGTCGATGTTTCCCTAACCCCATCAAGTTTCCTCATCGTTATCCCTTCTACTTTCCGATATTTTCCTTTTTACGTTTTTCATATTATTTTTTTACTCTTTGTCATTAAATATCAGTAGTTCCCAACAAAAATTCATTTATGGTCGAACTTATCGCTAGAATTAGCATCCAATTTATAAAGTTTTATATACACATATATTATATATACAGTTTTACGGATGGTAAGATAATTATTTTAGTCATTATTATAGACAATTAAATGAGTTTAAATATATAATATTATAAAATAAGAATAATAATATAAATTTTTTTTACAAACTAAAATTTTCATAATGGATAATTCATTTATTACACTATTTATCATCCAGCGTAATAGCATCGTTATAATAATTCATATGAATAATATCGTTATGCAACTGCCATTTATAGACAAGGAATTGTTAGTTTCTTGGTGACCATATATATATATATATATATGAATGTTCACAAGTTCACAACACTCGTCAATGTCGACCGCTGGTCTTTTAACTGCATGCAGCCAAAAACCCGAGGTGATCTTTGAAAATATATAATTATCTGGGAAATGAATTCGTTATAAAATATGAGTGGATATATTTTAAAGAGATTAAAAAAATTAATTCCGAATGAAATATGAAAATACTTAAAAAAATGGACATTGATTTTTTTATAAAAAAAGTGTTTTTATAGTAAATTCTGAATTTAAATAAAAATAGAATCAAAACAAATCAAATCACACGTAAAAATTTGAATGAATATATTTTTTAAAATAAAAAACAAAATTCGAAAATAATGAAATAGAATTTTAGGCAAAACGTGAAAATCTATTTCTAGCAGAAAATTTTGGAATTAGTTAATTTTTATATATCCCTAAGATGGTCACATTTTTTGCTACTATCTTCCAATATGTAGAGACAATATATATGTGTGTGTGGGTCCATATATATTGTTACACATGTATCATATATATTTAATGCTTGTAATAAATGGAGAGAAAAAAGTCCATATATAATATGACCCGTCTCTTTGAATCGTTGCCCCGTTCTTGTTCACATGGCCGTTGGCGATCCCATGCGCCACTCCTGCCTCTATTCCCAAAGTCTTCTCTTTAATCTCCCTTTTTAGCTTTAATCTCGTCGTTTAGTCCATACTTAATTCCTTAATTGTGCTTTATCCTCTTAATCTCGTCACGTAATCCACAGAATCTTCGGGATAATTTTTTTTCCTATTTAAATTAGTTGACTACATGCTCATAATCATAACATTTGATGTTAATTTCAAGGGCTTTGAAGTCAATATATAAACAATACCCGATCAGTAATTCATGTTTTTATTTGTCTATGATATAATTGTTTATATATACACGTTTATTTTATTTTTGTAGTCCTTTTATTGTATTCAAATTAATAAAAATATTTTTATTATTTGCATTTTTATCGAATCAAAACGATATGATCACAAATTTTTTCACGAGAAAATCCCATCAATATCCCTTTGTCTTCGTAATAGAATATATCCACACATGATGCATGCATATCTGAATCGTACATATTATGTATCCGTCGTACGAAAATTGACCATGTCTAAGTGAATTTACATGTTGATTTTGTTTATTGAACTAAGATAATGAGATACTTATCATATTTATAGGAAATAATTATTATATTTATTACAATCATGGGACGATAATATTATTAAAACCCTCCCATAGCACCAGTAATACCCATTTTTCAACAAAAGACTAGTTTAGTTATATATAGATTGCCAACAACCCCAAAATTTATGATAAATTATTAGTATTTTAAAAATTAATGATAATAATAACAACGCTTATATATATATATATATATATATATATTAATTATAAAATTGATTTGCAGGTTCAGTTATATATAAAATTATGTATTTCAATAACACCATCTAGTTCGGATTTAACTCGTGATTTATGTATGTAAGATGTATGATTTTTGTTATATACAAATAGTTATTGTAAAGGAAAGCACAAAGAAGAAACAATGACACGACAAAACGTGTGGCAAGACCACACAAATTGTGCACATATTGAGACAAAAAAAATATCTACTAGGGAAGGTTTATCTTGACCATATTTACTTGATAGTATTTATTATAAATTTCGAAAGTTATCTTGACCATATTAGGTGCATTTGGCTTGTGAATAAATGCATGAACCGTTGGGCATCGTAATTCATAGGCTATTTACATGGATTGAAATTGAATATATATAAACATTTATTTTCAATCTTGTTTGGAATACGGAATAGAGAAAATAACATTATGATGTGAACAACATTTATGGTCTATCTCGTAGTTTGGTTTCCATGGTTAATATAATTACTTAAATACGCTTTTTTTTAATGGAAAATGTTTTAGTAACATTTCGTATATTGTAATTTCATATTTGGAATTCATTGAAATATATGTCGAGGCCAATTTCATGTGCTTTCGGTAGAGATAATTTCATCCAAGTGTGTGTTTTCGGCGCAAACCTCGCCGTCTAATATTGAAAATTCAAAAAATAAAAGAAGTTTAACGTAATTTATAAATATATAAACACAAACTAAAACAATCATTAAAAAATAAAATCGAATTTGTTCGGACAAAATCATATAAAAGATAAACTATTTTACAATATATATATATATATATGTATCCCTTACTACAAATCTGTATTCATGATTCATCCTTAGTATATTCATCTTCATCTGGCTTTTGTAATTCAGATGAACTGTGTTTTCAATCATTGATGGCAAATTCAGTGTATAATAGCTCCAAAGTTCGGTTTAGGAATATAAAATAAATAAAATAATGTATAACGTTTTTAAAATTGAAACCAAAATTGACCCGATATATCTTTTACATCGTTAATTCATTCTAATACAAATCAAAGTTAAATTAAAAAAAATAAGTTTACTAAATATATGATGTAATTTGACAAATAGATTATAACTCATAGCAAAAAATGAATATTTTAATTTTTAATAATCGAAACAAAACAGACAAAAATAATTAATTTAATTTTTATAAAATTGAAACATAATTCGAAATATCTACTAATGTATGTATGATGTTGAATATATGAAATTCAATCCAACGTTTCTAAACTTGTACGAGCTCAAAAAAACCTTACAATACTGCAAGAAAAATAGTGGTAGTCATTTGATTTCGGTCAATAAACAATATTCAGTATATAACTTTTTTAAATATCCAATTTTACAAATAATTTTTTTAAGATTTTATATATTTAAAAATTATAACACTTTGTGGATACCACATTAGATATAAATACAAAAAAGGTACTCGAACAGGTTGTAAGGATTAGACATATGTGTGGTAATATGTACAACTTGCCATTGTACCTCGTCAAGATCAAATTTGTTAGAAACAATCTTTGAAATAAAACGTGCATTTGGCACACACCGGCATTGTATTGGACTGCACTCCTCTAACATTATAGTACATATTTTTTATTTTCATTTTTTGGGAATTTAATAATATGGAGAAAATTGTTATATTTTATGAAATAAAATTTTCCCGCCCCATGCATGGGCCCTCCGGACTGGAGACCACACACAAACACATATACTAATATTATATATATATTTTTATTTTCGTATTTAGCAACGGCCTATAAATACCGGCTAGCCTCTACCTTCAGAGAAAATCAAAGGGCCAGAGAGAGCAAGTGAGAGAAAACAGAGAAAGAAAACTCTTCCCAATCCTCTCACCTCTTTATTTTCTCGGGAAAGTAATAGCCTTCTTCAATGGCGACCTCCGTCGACAACCGCCATTACCCTCGCCTAAGCTCCGCCTTGAACGGCGTCGTTCGCTCCTATAAGCCTCCTCCCGTTCCCTCTCGCTCCCACCGTCACCACCAAAACAGCGTCGTACATAGAGAGAAAGCCAAACTCGCCGTCACCTTCGACGTTGACAACAACGGCGACGGCAACGGCACCGTCAACGTCAACGTCAACCACCACTATGACTCCTCCAGCGATGACGAAGACGAGAGCCACAACCAGAACGTTTCCTACTACAAGGAGATGGTTCGCAAATCCAACTGCGATCTGGAGCCGTCCATCTTAGATCCGCGCGACGAATCCACTACTGATAACTGGATCCAGCGTAACGCCTCCATGCTCCGCTTGACCGGAAAACATCCCTTCAACGCAGAGCCCCCGCTCACCCGCCTCATGCACCACGGCTTCATCACTCCCGTGCCGCTCCATTACGTCCGCAATCACGGCGCCGTTCCCAAAGCCGATTGGTCCGATTGGACGGTCGAAATCACCGGACTCGTCAAGCGGCCGACGAAATTCACCATGGACCAGCTGATCTCGGAATTCCCCAGCCGCGAGTTCCCGGTGACACTTGTCTGCGCCGGTAACCGCCGCAAGGAGCAGAACATGGTGAAGCAGACGATCGGGTTCAACTGGGGAGCCGCCGGAATCTCGACGACGCTGTGGCAGGGCGTTCCTCTCCGAGAAATCCTCCGGCGGTGCGGGATCTACAGCAGGAGCGGGGGAGCGCTCAACGTGTGCTTCGAAGGAGTAGAGGATCTCCCCGGCGGCGGCGGATCCAAGTACGGGACGAGCATTAGGAAGGAGATCGCCATGGATGATTCGAGGGACATCATATTGGCGTATATGCAGAACGGTGAGCTCCTGACTCCGGATCACGGGTTCCCGGTTCGGGTCATCATTCCAGGTTTCATCGGAGGTCGAATGGTGAAATGGTTGAAACGGATCATCGTCACCACTAAGGAATCTGACAGTTACTACCACTACCGAGATAACAGAGTCCTCCCTTCTCACGTCGACGCTGAGCTGGCAAATGCCGAAGGTACCGAAATTACCTTTTTACCCCGTCCCGCTTGTCACCTTTTAACATTTGATTTTTAGTACTGTGTAACTAATTATTTATTCTGGTGCAGCTTGGTGGTACAAGCCTGAGTATATCATCAATGAGCTTAACATAAACTCGGTGATAACGACGCCTTGCCACGACGAGATTTTGCCGATCAATTCGTTCACGACCCAGAAGCCGTACACGTTAAAGGGTTACGCATACTCAGGTAAGTCTGGGAACGACATGATTTTTTTTTTTGAAACTGTCAATTGTTGACCATAAAATTGAATTGGGGATTTTGATGAATATAGGGGGAGGGAAGAAGATAACAAGAGTGGAGGTGACGATGGACGGAGGAGAGACGTGGAGGGTGTGCGAATTGGACCACCAAGAGAAGCCTAGCAAGTATGGCAAATACTGGTGTTGGTGCTTCTGGTCTCTTGAGGTCGAGGTTCTCGACTTGCTTGGTGCCAAGGATATAGCTGTCCGCGCCTGGGATGAGACCCTCAACACTCAGCCCGAGAAACTCATCTGGAATGTTATGGTAAGAAGAATTATTATAAGCTTTTATTTATTAATTTTCTCTTCGAACAAGTCCTTGTCCCGGAGCAGAAAGGGTCCTTCCTTGATCCAGCGAATTCATATTATTAACATGAGTCGCACTATTTAATTATGCCAATTTCTGGGAGCGAGTTTAATTTAGCGTTTGACTAAAACGTGTGATGATCCTGACTGATGTAACAGGGAATGATGAACAACTGTTGGTTTCGGGTGAAGACCAACGTGTGTAGACCCCACAAGGGAGAAATCGGAATCACTTTCGAGCACCCGACCCGACCCGGGAACCAATCGGGCGGGTGGATGGCAAAGGAGCGTCAGCTCGAGAAATCCTCCGACTCCAACCAAACCCTCAAGAAATCTGTCTCCTCACCTTTCATGAACACGTCCTCCAAAACGTATTCCATGTCGGAGGTCCGGAAGCACAACTCCGCTGACTCAGCCTGGATCATCGTCCACGGCCACATCTACGACTGCACCCGCTTCCTCAAGGATCATCCAGGTGGGTCAGACTCCATCCTCATCAATGCCGGCACCGATTGCACTGAAGAGTTCGAAGCCATTCACTCCGACAAAGCCAAGAAGCTTCTAGAAGATTACCGCATCGGTGAACTCATCACAACCGGTTACGACTCATCCCCGAACGTTTCCGTCCACGGTGGATCCAATGCGGCCCCATTGTTGGCACCCATCAAAGAGCTGGCTCCTGTCAAGAACATTGCTTTGGCGAACCCTCGGGAAAAAGTCCCCATCAAACTCGTCGAAAAGACATCGATCTCCCATGACGTTCGTAGGTTCCGTTTCGCCTTACCGTCCAAGGATCAGACGCTTGGTCTACCGGTTGGGAAACACATATTCCTCTGCGCCAACATTGAAGACAAGCTCTGCATGAGAGCCTACACTCCGACCAGCACGGTGGATACGGTCGGTCACATCGATCTTGTCGTCAAGATTTACTTCAAAGGCGTCCACCCGAGATTCCCCAATGGAGGGCTCATGTCCCAGCACCTTGACTCGTTGCCTATAGGATCGGTTCTGGAGATCAAGGGACCGTTAGGACACATCGAGTACGCAGGCAAAAGCAACTTCATGGTCCATGGCAAACCAAAGTTTGCCAAGAAGCTAGCAATGCTGGCGGGAGGAACGGGCATCACACCGATCTACCAAGTAATGCAAGCTATACTCAAGGATCCAGAAGACGATACCGAGATGTACGTTGTGTACGCGAACCGTACAGAGGATGACATCCTTCTGAGGGATGAATTGGACGAATGGGTCGAAAAATACGGCGAGAGGGTGAAAGTTTGGTATGTGGTGGAAAACGCGAAAGAAGGGTGGAAATATAGCACCGGTTTCGTAACCGAGAGCGTACTTAGGGAACATATTCCCGAGTACGGCTCAGAAGGGGGTAGCTCACTGGCTCTGGCCTGTGGGCCGCCGCCTATGCTCCAGTTCGCGGTGCAACCGAATCTGGAGAAGATGGGTTACGATCTGAAGGAAGATCTGTTGATCTTCTAAGAGCCCATGTTATGCAAAAACAAAAAAACGATGCTTGAGTTTGAATATCTTTCTCTGTATGTAAATATAAGATTAAAGAAATGGTTTTTTTTGGGTTTTGTATCAATGGGGATTAACAGTTTAGTACGCTGTAATTATTGTATGGTTAATCTTGTTGTTGCTGTTGGCGATGATGACGGAAATATTATGTCATGCGCTTAGACAATAAGAAGGGACGGTTGTTTATATTTGAGCATATGATATTTGAGCATATTCCCCAGTGAAGTGAACGATGACTAAACATTTTAAAAAAACATCTGTTATTACAGAGATATAACAAATTTAGAGAGAACTCGAAATTTCCGGATTGCAGAAATATACTGTGTATTTGTGTTTGGACACGTGCATGCATGCATATTGATTGGTGAGTCGAACAGCGAGTCCTATTGACTCGGCACGCCTTGTTAACATGTCTGCTGCTACTCTTTCTTATTTTATGAATTATGATTATCAATTATTACACGTAGTTTTCAGTTGTCTCTCGTTTTCTTTTTGTCCAAAAAAAATAAATATAAACACGAAATTATCATTTTTTTTTGTTATGTCCGTATCCACATACAAAATAAATATAATAAGATTCGCGATTGATATTTGTAGATAGCTAGGAGCCTCCAACTTGATTTGCCTCTTCAGTCGCTCTCTTTGAGAGACGTATAATTTCTTTAAATTATCCTCACTCTGTTCTTTTATTCATGATTTATTAACCGTATATATATTCGAAAATAATTAATGATTTCGAGAGACATTTTATTATTTGAATGATGGTTTTTTTATTATTATATAAATTAAATTATTAGTATTTTGTTAAATAAAAAAGATGATAAAATATTATACATTTGATGGTTTCGACACAAGAAATCTAAAACTTTACTTCAAAGGCCACTCTAAGATCCCACAATACCGAGGAAGAAGATAACTCGAACCAAAAATATCTTAAAATCAAAATATCTCAACATATATCGATTTTATTTTCGAATTTTTTTTCCATGAGGAAAAAAAAATACTACAAAACCTCTAGGGACATGCAAGCGGCACGTCGCCACCTTTGAGGCCATAAAAAATAGAGAAGGAAACTTCCTAAACTTCTCAAATTTGGCCCCTTGTATATATATATATGTATGTGTGTATATATTGTAATGACAAAAAAAAAAGTAAGAAATAAAAAAGAAAAAATAAAAAAAGAAAAGGGTTGGGTGGAGACGCGACTGAACCGGAGGGGGGGCGAGCCGCCACGGCTCTCCATTCTAAGAACGTTGCTTCGCTCTGTGAAGGGTCAACCATATCCATATACTTACACATATACATACATACGCTTATTTTTTTGTCGTCATTACATTTACATTTTATAAAAAAAAAATTAATCCGTCTTTGCAAATTTGTTTTTTTACCGTCCATTCTTTTATTCGTCCTTTATTTCGGGATCTGCGACAGTGACGTTTGAAAACAGGCAAGATTCGTCGTGCAACTGACGATTTTATTTAGACATGTCTCCGGTGATTTATGTGATTATTAGAGGTTGGCAATTTGATACTTAATTAATCTTATACTAGTTTTACTTTTGATGTTTTGTTGCCTATTGATTTTTGTTTCAAATTTTATTTGATATTGATTGCCATTATATATATATATATAATAAACTTTCTGATTAAATATTTACAGATGATATATAATATGAAAATTCTATCATCTCTAATAATCAGATAAATTAACATGCATATAATCATTTTCTATATATATAATAGTAATATATAGAGGCAACGAAAGTAAAACCTCGATGTCTCTTTCATACAATTCTCCGCATAGTTCACAAGTGTCCCCAATGGTTAATTAAGAGTCAGGAGCAAAATATGTCTTGGGTCATTATTAAGACGGTCCATCAATATTTAAACTCATTGATTCCACTAAATCTTAATTAGTTAGACTAAATTAATATTAGACCATATATTATATTAAGGCCAAGCGTATCTCCGGCCAAAAGGCATTTGTCCACAAGATTAAATAAGCACATTAATGGAGTATTCAAAGATTCTTGCTTCCGACAACTTTGGGGGAAAGGGCTCCAACTATGTTGGGAAAGAGATTTAAGTTAATATTATCGCCACAGTTGTTGGAGAATTTTTTTTTTTATTTCATCATCAAGTGGGAGGTTTAAATAAAATTTATCAGTCGGCCATTAATTAAGCTTTCATAAATTATTAACGATTAATGACTAATCTATGATCATTAGTGTTTTTAAATCTCATTAATTAATATATAAATATAAATATATTTTTTTTATGTTTGGTTAAGTCATATTGGATTATTCATGTCAGTGTACTATTTGAATTGAAAATGAATATGGCGAGCAATTATATATACAAGTGGTCGGCTATTATAAAGCTATAACATTTAATTGTCTTTTTCTTTTTTTTCTTCATTTAATTGTCTTTTGAAAAAGTGGATCAAGTTGTATAGTCTATGCATGCAATTATTTATTTATATTTGCAATTTGAAATAAATAGTTATTAAGGATGTTTATTTTTCCAAATATGTGTGTATTCTATAAGCCAATTATAATGCGTCTTTGTAATATTCCGTAATCAAGATAGGTTTAATTTCACAAGTTTTGTCAAAACAACGACGTCGTCTTATCCAAGAAGAAAACAACATTGAATCCGTCGTTTACCAAAGAGTGGATTCGGATCACAAATTGGAAAAAGTTTCCTTCATAATTTTGTTTTCATTATATTAATTGTATTAACGTTTTTAAATTAAATAAAAAAAGAGCTTATGATTTTCGTGAGGCTCATTTTTTATTTGGTATAAAAATATCTTCCAATGCCAACTGTGACTGATATTAACAGCATGAGAAAATACCATCGCGTTCTATACAAACACGTCCGAGTCGTTATCGTTTCCTTTTGGCAAAATATTTCTTAGCGAAAATGACAACATATATATATATATATATATATATATATATATATGACGTAGGAGCAATGACAACATATTTTATAATTAAAATATTTACGCATTTTGGCCCGATTTCGATCTATCTAAATATTGATCCATCGTACGAAAATTAGAGTATTAACAAAATTTCTCATTAAATAGTTTAAGAATCTAATGACGTTTCGCATTGCACAGCAAAAACACACACGTTATAGAGTGCCATCTATATATAATATAGTATTGCACAAATAATTTGAAGATAATTCCTTATAAAATATGGTCAACCATTTTTCTATAAAGCGTACCTTCTTTCTTTTTTTAAAAAATAAATAAAGTTGTTGCGGTTTTTTTTGTTTGATTAAATCCCCACTTGTTTTTATAATAAAATGTGAAAACCATAGGTTATAATAACATTGGTTACAACTTTATGAGATTTTATATTTTGTTTCCGTCTAACGATAGGATGCAACTTGGGGATATGAGGGTTCACTTGATTACTTCTAAATTCTCTATTCAAAATATTTATTATACATTTCCATTGTATAGAATTTATAACATATATAATTAGTTAACAATTACTCCATGACTAACTAATACATGATTATGTATGGTTCGAATAACAGTTTCGATAGTGACTTTTCAAAAATGTATCGCTTAAATCGTCATGAATTAATATTTAATAACTAGCATCTTATAATTCAAAATAATAAACTATCATTATTTAATTATTTTTCATCAAATGTAATTTTGTAATTCAATTCAATTGGGCCAATATGGATCCAATAAAGATATGGTCTTTTGGGCCTATACACGAATTAGTAATCCAAAACCAACCATGAATCCGATCCATTGTATTTTGTGTTTTCGAATTTTGAAATGATCAAATCAATTTGTTACTGAAACAAAAACAAAAAATCCGGTTTAGGGAAATATCGGCTCGGTAGTCGGTATTCTATATTCGGTTTGGCTCTATTTCCGGTTCATACTCTCTCTATATATATGCGTGGTGGATAAGAGTGGTATGAAAGCATAAGAATATGAATCTATGCTTTTTTCATCCATATCATAATCGTTATTCAAATTCCAAATTCTCATAAATATGATAAGGTCCACGTTAAAAAACGGGAGCAGGAATAACATTCCCTCAGCTTTTTGGTTCGTATTTATACCGAAAGACGAACGAAGACAAAGGATCCATACCGGAATTTTACAAATGGCTCATGTGAATAGTTCTCTCTCTGATACAATGAGCCAAGTTCTCGGTCTCATGGAGGCCTTTCGAGCCTTCGACTCCGACAACAACGGCTTCATCACTTCCCAAGAGCTTGGAGGGATTCTCTCTTCCCTCGGGTATGTTTATATATATACTTGGTACATGTGTATGTTCATGTGTATCTCCGGGTAGAATTATATTCATGCTGTCCCATAAAATCATATTGGTTATGCAAAGAGGCAAAAATTGTGATATTTTCGTGCTTTTTATACATGTTTGTGCATATATATATATATATATCAAGTCATTAATATTGAAAAATAAAATGCGGAAATTAAAAAGAGAGAAAAGAATAAAAAATAAAACAAAGAACACTTTTATTACTACATCTCTTCTTCTTCTTCTTCTTGTTTTACAATGAAAATAACTCATCTATTTACAAGAAACAATTATAAAATAATTAAAAAAAGAAATTTATAAAGAAATAATATATGATGGAAACAAATAAATCAAGAGATAATTGACACAATTATCATTATTTGTTAATTGATTTTGTGTTTTTAATTTCTTTCAATCATCCTCATAATCATTTCCAATCAATTTCAATCTTCTTAAATTTATATTTGTTTCCTCATTTTAACAATTAGTTCCATATTCTTGCATACGTTTGGATATAGTTGATACATCTCTAGTTTTCATGTGCAAACCCACAAAATCATATTCATTAAGCAAAGTGAGTACACATATACTCATACGTACAAAAACGCAATATATACATATATTAGTTCCACATTTTTTTTATAATAATAGTTTTGATATATGTATTGGATAGATACAAAGCTACGGAAGAAGACGTGAGAGCGATGATGTCGGAAGGAGACAAGGATCGAGATGGTCAATTAAGCCTTGCAGAGTTTCTTGATATGAACACAAAGTCGATGGAAGTAGAAAACGGGGGCATTCTGATCGCTTTGAAAAGTTCACTGCAGCTTCTTGATTTCAATTGCGACGACGACGAAGTCACCCCCGAGGAGCTGTTTGATACAATTGAAAGTTCCGGGGCCGGTGGGATAAGTTTTGAGGATTGCGAGGCTATCATTTCTGCAGTTGACGGTGACGGTGACGGAGCCGTTAGTTTTCACGACTTCAAGCTTATCGTTAGCTCCCTCCAAAAGGATTGATCACAACGATGTTTAATTAATGCATGATCAAATTATGATACACCACTACAAGCTTTTTTTTTAAATGATCAAATTATGTTGTATTTCCATAAAATTATAAATAAATAAATAGATAAAATTATATAATTATAAGAAAAAAAATCGATTTTTTTCTTATATATATATATTCGTATGGAAGAATACTTTCTCCTGAAAATTCAAATTCTAGGTAGTTTCCATTGGAATTGGATTCAATAATAATATCCGAATATAATTTTCATTAAGTCACAGATAATTTTTAATATTATATCTCGTGAAGCATGTCCCGTTGCTATATAATGTTGTACGGCGAGTTAGAATAAGAAAACACGGTTCTTTATGGGCCTAATGTGCTCATATAATGTTGATGGTAGCCCATTGGGCTTTCAGCTCTTATGCTTCCGGAACGGCGTCGTTTTCTCTGTCAGAATGACTAGCTATATATACACACCCGTTGAGGATAAGCTCTTAGCTTTCTCATCCGTTTGGTTTCCGAGAATCTGCGGGAAAATCCCAAGTCTGAAGAGAGAAAAATGGCGCAGGCGCTAGCAACGCCCGTTGCGAATTCCCTCTCACTCATGTGCAATTGGACGAGCACGAGTCCTCTCGCTCGTAATACTCTTACTCTTCCAGTTTCCATCGCCCCGAAGGTAATCTATGCTCTGGTCACATTTCTTCTTCTCTCTGATCTTCTAGGTTAGCTATCGTCTCTTTCTAAACTCGAAAATTCTTCATCTTCCGGAATAACATCTGTAGATGTCGGAATTCCTGTCTTTTGATCCCCGCGCACCTTCCTTGATTTGTTTGCTTGGTCTTCATGATTAAAAATCCTGGTTATGTAGAAGCTGATTATGCATTCGTTCTGGAGTCGAATAACTTAATTTGTATAATCACTGATAACTTAGTTTTGAATTTATCAAGAATGAGCTATTGGGCACAAATTATGGATCTTTTTTGGAGAATCAATCATAGATTGATAATCTGAATTATGAACATTTAGTTTCTCCTGCTACACAGTACGAAATTTAGGTTTAACGTCTGAATGGATGTGATAATGTGCATGAACAGAGCCTAAGCATACGGTGTGCTCGTGTTGGAGGTGTGGAGATTCCGAACAATAAGAGAATCGAATACTCACTTCAATACATTCACGGGATTGGTCGCACAAGGGCACGCCAGATTCTCAACGATCTCCAGATGGAGAACAAGATCACCAAAGACTTCTCCGAGGAAGAACTAACCATTATCCGTGAGGAAGTCTCCAAGTATATGATCGAGGGTGATCTGGTGAGTAGTTTTTCCCTTTCTTTGATTTGTTTCAGATCTTCAATGAATAGAAGTCAACCGAGTACAGCTTAACAGTTCTTTAAGCCCACCTCCCCTTATGGAACGGATAGGATAACAATGCCTGGTCACATGTTTTCTTGAAAAAAGAGTTGTTCCAACTCTTCTAGTGATTGGAGGGGTAATGTCGAAAAATTGCTGTAAACCATTATTTGAGCAGTTAAATCAATTCTTTCGCCTTGTTCTTGTGATGGTCTATTTGAACTGAGTAGGCATAGTATTCAAACATTTGAGAGAGGAAGGTGTCATTTTGAGAGAGGATTGGTAATTGCAGAGGAGGTTCAACGCACTGGCGATAAAGAGGTTGAAGGAGATACAGTGTTACAGAGGGGTGAGGCATATACAAGGGTTGCCATGTAGGGGACAGAGAACCAAGAACAACTGCAGGACTCTCAAAGGTAAGAAAGTCTCCATCGCTGGCAAGAAGAAAGCTCCCAAGTAACAAGCTTTTTAATTTAGCCCCTTTTTTGTGAAAACTCTACTCTGCTTGTGTGACTTTGTTGTTGGATTTTGAATCTTGGGTTTTGGAATTGGATTATATGTTTAATACTCATCACAGTCGGAATAACCCTTTTGGGCCATCAGCACATGTTACTACAAAATGTGCCCAATCACATTGTGATAAACTGGAACGACGTTTAACCTGAAACGGACAGACCCTTTAAACGTACTACAACAATAACATACTAGTTTACAGGACTCTGCAAACGTTCTTGAAGTAGAGAACAAAGCTCTGAAACCCGGGAGAGAATCTGACACAGTGAATCATTTGATGCTAATACATCAGTTCTTGGATCTGCAAGCAGTTGTCTGAGCTGAGAAGCCATGGAAGAGGCAGTTTCATCGCTGCCACAAGATTCAGCAACAAGATCGAGCAGTTTGATGATACTTTGGTCTCGTGGTGGGTTGGGTGGGATCGGGATTGGCGGGGCAAGGAAAGGGTGTTCCAAGAGTTGAGGGATTCTCCATCTTTGGTTCCGGTCCCAAGCAAGACATTTCTTCATGAGATCGAGAAGCCACGGGTTAGAGACAGGAGGGTATGTGATCTCGTGGTTTGGATCGGTTATGACTTTGAATTTCGACCAGAACGATTTGTAGTCTGAAAAAGGGGTTCTTCCATACACCATTTGGTAGAGGATGCATCCAAGTGACCAAATATCCGATGGTCTCCCGCATTTGATTGTGTTCCCGTTTGCATCGTTCTCGTTGCACATGAATGCTTCCGGTGACATGTAACTCAAAGTTCCCACCTGCCATAAGAACACAATCTCTGGATCAATAATCATCGGACCGAGTAATATTGATCAGCTTCCATTGCCATTGGGGAAGAAACAAAAAGGAATGTGGAGGATTTTTACTTACCTGTGAGTCCCTCTGGATATTGGTAGTATCACTATTGATGGCCTTAGCAATTCCAAAATCAATCAGCTTTAAAGAGCCTCTCACGAGAAGGAAATTCGCTGGCTTCAAATCAGAGTGCACAATTCGTTCCTCGTGTATGGTATTAACAGCTTGAAGTATTTGCTGCAATGATTTCGAGATACATGATTAGAATCATACGCTTATTTTAGCACAAGAGCTTACAAAATAAACTTCCACGGTCTCCACGGTTAAGAGTAACATCCCAACCCTCACTTTTGTACTTGAAAAAATTATCATCAACCTGGGCAGACAGAAAGCACAGACACTAAGGTGTATGTAGAGTTAGATAAGAACCTGCCAATAGAACCGAAGCCAATTTGCATCAATGGTTCGGTTAGATCCTTCGATTTCCTTCCACTTCTGGGACAACATGTGGGCCAGATCGATTTCTCCATATTCTAGTACCATATAGATGTATCCATCGTCCTTCACTCTTCCATCTCTGTTACTCATTGTGCCCTTCATCACTTCCCCGAGCAAAGTTTTATCGGTCACCTAATTCCGAAAGATGAACAGTTAACAAACTGAACTAGCAGTATATGCAAGTTTCTAAATTAAACATAAGAAATCAATATCAGCTGCTCAGTGGATTTATTTTGAAGAAAGTACCTCGTAGTCTATCAATTGAATAATGTTGTTCTTCCCTTTTAGCTTCTTTAAATACCCAATCTCCTGGCAAAATCCATACGATGTTGCATAGTCACGGCCTTTGAGCTTGATTTTCTTGAGTGCATATATGTTACAATCTGAAGATATGACCTTGTGGACCTCACTGCTTCCTCCACTACCGATCTTGCCGAGCCTCTGATAGAGCTTCCCATTAACTTTAAAGAACAAGTCAGGATCATAGTTCCTTCTACGAGGTGCTGCTGCCTCTTTGTTGTTAGCAACCTTTTCTTGCTTATCTGATTTTGAAGGCTGAGAACCTGCATTAGTGGGTAGTACATCTCTCTGATAACTGGAAGATGCCATTGGAATTTCACTTTCGGTAGTGTTATGTCGTTGCTTTGAATTATCTGGATCCTTGACTTCCACTCCTCGATCAATAGCTGAGGCTGGCATCTTCGATGCTTCCACACTCTTGTCAACTTGCATATTGTTGTTGATGTCCTTAGACGAAGAATGCAAAGAATGCATCATATCTCCTTGACTTTGAATAGCTCGTGGATTTGCATTTGAGTTAGCAGAAGGTTCCAGCATTGCATTACTGTTACCCTCTACATAAGAACAAGACATGTTCGTTGTCGGGTTAAGCATTGGAGCTGAAGACGAGTGGATTGAAGTTGTTGTGGCACAAGATGATCCCACAACAGAACATTGAGAAACAGGTTGGTTTAAAAAATTATGGAAATTGTTCAGGCCACCCTGAATCTTTCCCAGTGAAGACGAAACACCGGACTCAGACTTGAAATTGATCTCAGATTCAACGGTCCGGAAATTCTGATGTCTCGATTCATTATGAGCAACAAAATTGTACGCTTCAGCTTGATTTGTTGCATCCCATTCCATATCTGTCAGCATAAGTGCATCACAATTAGACCCAAGCCCAATAACATAGAAACCAATTGGTCACCTTTGTCGAAATGTATCAAATGAAGGGGAATATCTTCCTATTTTAGTTTTAGAGCAATTTCATGGCTTCAATTTGCAAAAACACAAAAAAGAAATTATGAATAATGCCTAAAAGTTGAGCCTGGACGTTACCCTGAGAAGAGGTGAGGGAGTTGCCAATTAGAGATTGGACCTTTCTGTGGCCATCTCTGTTCTGAGATTCCATGTGCAGATTGCTCTCTTTACAAGCAACATCAGGCATTGACTCATCCATCTGTCTGTCTAATGGGTTAAAATTCTCGTCAAAGTTTTTAGTAATAGCACCCGAAATTGAAGGTGGTGTAATGGAAGCATTTTCAAGAGATTCCCCAGCAACGCCAGTGGTTATGTTCCTAGTCTCTTGTGCCAGATTATTGGCGGCAAGACTCAGACTTAGTGAAACAACATCCTGCGATCTCTTCACTTCTGCTTTAGAGGCCACAGCCAAGCCTGAGCTTCTTGAAGCTTCTCGTTGTGAAGCAACACTCCGTCTGGGGCCTATAGTTCTCGTCTGCATTTTACCTGAAAAATGGACCGAACAGAGTACTCTTAGAACTCGGACAAATACTTGTTGCCATCCTAAGACAATGCTTAAATGTCGGAATGAATGAAGCTCTGTGCTTCATAATCATATTCATATCAGGTTTGACTAAGACAGTGACTAGAATTCACTAATTCCCACTCACCAAGTGACCTATTGAATTTTGATTAACTGTGAACATGAAACATGATGTGAAAATGAAATGTTGAGGGTGATGAATTCGACAAACAGCAGAACTTAACTTTCCCAATAAAACCCTAAATTTCACGGTCTCAAAGCGAGGGAAAAGGAAAAGCCCATGATGCCAAAAGGACAGTAAACCCTAAACCGAAGCAACAAAACAGATTCTTCGGAGCTCCAAATTGATATTACACACGAGAGAGAGAGAGAGAGAGAGAACTTAGGGGACGATGGCGCTTGAATGCGGCTTGAACATGCCGGAGAAACTCCGGCGAGGAGAAAGAAGAAGAGGAAGACGTGTCTTGGTTCAGTATCGGACGGACCAGATTCTTCGGAGCTCTATCCTGTGAAACCGGAAGGTTAGCCTCCCTGTCCATGGCGGGATCTCAACTGCATCTCCAAATATGGTACGACGGATATATCTGAACGATAAATCGCAGACTTAGCACAATCAATCTCTCAAAATGGTGATAAACAATTCCATGGCTCCAATTACGCCATGGCCGTCCAAGGATCCTCCTCCGCAGAGAGAGCGAAGTAAGCGAAGCAAGAAGCAAAATTGTGAGATTTGAACTGCTTATTGGCGCTTCCCGAGGTTCTTCGCCTCCTGAGCCGTATATTATTTGTTGGCCCAATGGGTCAATTGTAGGCCCATTAATTGAAGCCTACCCACATTTTAAAATATTTATTCCCATCATATAATATTTATTATTATAATTTATATGTCCGTGACGTCATAATGATAGACATAATGTGGAAGGCGTCTCCAAGATCAAGTATATATTATCGCTTATTCATTTAGTTAAAAAATATAATTAATAAAAAAATTAAATAAATTTAACCGATTATCAATCAAATCATTTGTTACATTACAAATGAATCATTCAATCGATTATGTACGAGGATTCCACCTCATGCATGGATGATGGATGGGTGGTATGGTATTATAAAATTTGATTAATTAAATTGAATTCAGGTGGAGTTATGAAAAAAGGAAATTATTTAATAAAAAAAAGGGTTTGAAAGAGAGAAGAATGGCAGAAACAGAGTTTTTTTTTTTCATTTCTCTTGGTCGATGTTTGGGCATTCCCTCGCGAAATGCCCTTCCTTCCCGCATCTGAAGCATGCTCCGCCGCCGTACTTCCTCTTCCCTTCGCCGTCTCCGCCGCCGCCGCCGCCGCTATCTGCGTTTCCTCGGTAACAATCCCTGGCGAAATGCCCTGTTCTGCCGCAGTTATAGCAAGCTCCTCCTCTTCCGCCGTAACCGCCTCTCCGTCCTCCAGCTCTACCGCCGCGGCGAGATCTACTCGTGACGGTGACGGCGACGTCGATGGCCTTGGCGCGGCCATCTGCTGCGACATCGGCGGAGAATTCAACGGATTGGCCCTCGGATAGAGTCCGGAAACCGTCGGATTTGATGGCGGTTTGGTGAACGAAGAGATCGTCGCCGCCGTCGTTTGGGGCTATGAAGCCGAATCCTCTCTGAGCACTGAACCATCTCACTGTACCGGTGGATCTCCTCCCCTCTTCCTCCGCCTCCATATCTCAGAGCTCCGCCGTCGATGTTCACCGGAGATTTGGTTCAGCGGCGAATGCACGGAGGCGGAGTAGCCTCCTCTTCATTAGTAATAGTATCAGAGTTGTTGGGTGTGGACCAGTGAGATCATATCCGACGGTGTGGATGAGTCAGGATAAGATCCGACGGCCAGGATTATATTCCGTTTTATCCGTTTGGAAAATCTAAAGTCACAATAGGCATCCACGTCAGCAGCCCATTGGTGGATAGTGTAACACTGAAGCTGAGTTTTGGATAATCCTTTTTTGTTTTTTAATACAATTTTAAATATATAAAATGTTATACCACACGTTATAGGATATTATAACATTTGGATTCACAAATCCCACTTGTCGTTTTATTGACTACGAGTGAAGAAGAAGACCTTTGATTTCATCCTCAAAACGTGGTATCCGTTGTGTATGAAGAGAATACCATTAAATAAATTATATTTTTGATTTTATCAAAACTATATAAAATTCAATTTTTATATATCATACAAAATTATCAGTTTCAAAACTGAATATGTAACATTTAAAATTGTAAGGAATTTCAGTACTATTTAACTCATAAAATACAGTTAAAATAAACAGATCTAAATTAATATGGTTAGTGTAACGTGTTTTCATACTATTGAGTATAATGACTACAACTAAAATTACTCTACATCGTTTAAATTAATTCATACAAACAAAATTAATATTAATGTTATTCGTACCAATCAAACCATATATGTTTTTATAATGCTTCATATTTTTTTTTCTCAAAAGATTAATATCAATGGATAAAAACTTCAATATCTTTATTTTTCTATTTTTTTTTTTGATAATCCGGAAATTCACTGGACCTTTGACCCGACTATATCTCCTACAAGACCGGAAAAGGCCAGGTGAATGTCCTTCCCCACGTTTGGGTTTGAACCCAGGGTGAAAACATACTTTGCATGTTCTCTCACCACTACACGACCCAAGTTTGGGTTTCTCGTTATCAGATTACACCTATCTATAGAAATATTTAGATATTGATTAAAAATCCACAATCATAAAAATACATATGTTTTATTGTTGATTTTTAAAGTGACCGGCTTTATCTCAGGAGTCATCTAATTTGTATAAGATAAATTAAAATATAAAAATTTGTATAAGATAAATTAAAATTTAGCTAAAGTTTATTCTTTGTGAACGTTTTCTAACATATGCATCTATATATGCTAGAAATATGCAATCTTTAATATACATGAAGTGGTAGACTGTAATCACGTCGAACGTTACAAAAAGTGTAATTAATGAGATTAATAAAAGGATTAGTGTATAATAAATGCCATCAATGAAAGGATCAACGTGAGTGAGCATGCATTTTGTAGGCACACAGCCCGTGCAATCGCTGTGTTTTTCATTATTTAAACATAAAACTATTGCCAAAAATTTCGTTTAAAATACTCTTGTCGGTAAATGCTTTCCTATATTTTTTGTAAGATATTATTTAAATAAGGAATCCCAGAAAATGGACTAGAAGTTATTTTGGATATTATGAGGGTAAATACGCTAAGACATGAAAATAAAAGGAGGCAAATGAAATAAATACTAAGTCCAACATATAATGAATTGCCCCATTACAATTTATCGCATGCTAGCCGTCCGATGAAATATAGAGGACACGCGTCGCTAGATGAGGCAGTGGTTTCCTTCGTATTAAAGATAAGGCAAAAATTAAGAACGACGAAAGAAAATTAGAGAGAAAGCAAAGGCAGAGGCGAGAAAGTGAGGGAAAAGAAGTGGAAAGTCAGGTAAAGAGAAAAAGGAAGAAAGGAAAGGAAAGGAAAACCCAATAGTCGGCGCCATCCGCCGACCAATCATCACGTCGCTTTCTCTCCACTTTCTAGCCAACCAAACAGTGCCTTAATTACCTCCGTTCTCTCTCTCTCTCTCGCCCTCGGTTTGCGATAAATCCCTAGATCTTGTTTGGTTCTGGGGTTTTCTTCTTTTTTTTTTGTTGTTCATCGCCGCGGGTTCTACTTATTTTTTTTTTTACTGGGATAAGTTTAAACTGGTGGTTCTTCCGTAGTTTTTTTCATCTAAGCGGAAGATACCTGGGTGTAGTTTCTAGCTCGTAGTTCTTTTAGGCGAAATTTTCTTCTGAAAGATTTCCGCTTTTTCTACCTGGAAAATCTTCGGATTTGGTTATAGATTTTGATTTTAAGTCATGAAGAGCTCTGTGGCCGAGCAATCCACTGCTGAGAAAATCCAGAACGGTGACAAAGAGAAGAAGAAGAAGCGCCGATCAAGTCGCCGATCCAAACACAACTCAGGTAGCTGAATCTCTCTCAAACACCCTGGAATCTTGGGGGTTTCTCTGATACGGATGTTTGTAGTTGATCCTAGGGTTTTAAGTGGGGGATTATTTATGTTCTTGTAACCCAAAAGTCTACTTTGAGTTTTTGCCTTGTTTATTTCCGTTCTTGTTTGGTTGACATTCGTGTTGATTTCATCTCTGAATTTATCCTGAAACTGATGAGATCCATTGAGACTGCAATTTAGAAGCTTTTTAACTTGATTTGCAAGGGTTTTCTATATCAGCAGAAAATTAGATCTATTAGATTTACTGCATTGCTTGAATCGACTCTTTTTGAGGCATTTCTGGTTATCACTAGTTGAGTGTATTTTTCATAGCCTCTATGTCATTGGCCGTGAACAGTTGGTTGTGGGACTGAAGAAGTCCATAACAATGAAGCGTCGGATGGTAGAAATGGCAGCAAAGCGAAAAACGGCAATCCTTCACCGAGTTGTTCTTCATCGAATCAGCAGGGATTGGACATACGTACTTCTGATGAACTTGGAGAAATGAGAGCGTGTAGTGTTGCTTTCAATTCAATGCCTTCTATGCATCTAAACGGGCAAGCAGAAAACGGTGATCCAGTAAGCTTTGAGAGCCAGCAGGTTCCTTCTGTCGATATTTGTAAAAGCATGTTGTCCAAGTCGTGCCCTGAACCTCGGGATTGTGAACAGTCATCTAGGATGAACGGTGATTTGTTCCAGCAAATTGATGATACCTCGGAGCGTAAGATTTTCTCATCATACTGGTGTGTGGATGCTGTGAATGAAGCTTTGGAGGTTTGTCTTAGATGTATCCCTTTCTTCTTCCCTTCAAACCTTTTTGACAAGTTCATTGTAGATTCATTCCTTCTTTTCTCTTCTATTCACGATTACAGAAGGGTGAAGCTTTTAAGGCTTTGTTCCGGGTGAACGCTCATAACCGTAATGAGGTTGGTAATAAACATCTGATCTTACTCAAGTCACTAAGGTTCTGGCCGTTCGTTTCCTCTGCTTACTCTTATGTTTGTTCCTTTTTGTTTGAAGGCTTACTGTAAGATCGATGGTGTCCCAACAGATATTCTAGTTAATGGTATTGTTGCGCAGAACAGAGCAGTAAGTGTGAATTTATTATTGTCTTGAGATTTTTACCTTTTGTTGAAGTTCAGTGTTGGGATAGTTTCTGGATTGGCAGGTTTATGTTGAAGTTCTTGCTCTTATTTTTGTCTTGTAGGTTGAAGGTGATGTGGTCATTATGAAGTTAGATCCTTTCTCAATGTGGCCCAAGATGAAAGGATTTGTTCGTGAGAATACTGCTAAGTCAGAAGAAAGCAACAACACTCTGTCGAGAAATGAATATATTGCACCAGTTTATGGAAAAGGAATTGAGGTCTGTGTTAGTCAGTGTGAGATCACTTCATTAGATTCCTCAAGCAGACAGACAGAATTTTTTACTGCTGTCGAGAAGCTACGTGCCACTGTTCTATCCTTCCCCTCCAAACGACCAACTGGGCAAGTTGTTGCTGTTGCTGAAAAGTCGCTTCGTAGGGATTCTATTGTTGGTTTTCTGAATGTCAAGCAATGGATTCATTATAGACAAGGTGATGCAAAGAAGAATGAGGAGCTGTTGTCTCTTTGTGATAATGAATATCTCCAGTTGATGCCTGCGGATCCCAAATTTCCTAAATTGATTGTTCCCTTTCGAGACTTGCCTGGAAGCATTAGAAGAAGATTGGAGAGTAGTGATGCAACTATTGAGGCAGAGCTGGTCGCTGCCCAAATTGTGGATTGGGCGGAAGGATGTCCATATCCCCAGGCTTATGTTACACATGTTTTTGGCCGAGGTGGTGAGTTGGAGCCCCAGATAAAAGCAATATTACATCAAAACTCGGTTTGCCATTCTGACTTTTCTCCTGATTCGCTTGGTTGCCTCCCACATCTTCCTTGGGAAGTACCTGAGGAAGAGGTCCAACGTAGAAAAGACCTCAGAAACTTGTGTGTATTCACCATTGACCCCTCAACAGCTACTGATCTTGACGATGCTCTGTCAGTTGAAAGTTTATCTGGTGGTGTTTTCAGAGTCGGTGTCCACATCGCTGATGTGTCTTACTTTGCTTTGCCAGACACTGCTCTTGACACTGAAGCCCAACTTAGATCGACTAGTGTCTATATGCTGCAGAGAAAATTACCAATGCTACCCCCGGTTTTATCAGAAAACATAGGTTCACTTAAGCCAGGAGCTGATAGACTCGCTTTCTCTATCTTCTGGGACTTAAATGTAGATGGGGATGTAATAGACCGCTGGATTGGCCGTACTGTTATTCGATCTTGTTGCAAGCTCTCGTATGACCATGCTCAGGGCATTATAGATGGGTTGTTTAGGAGTGATGTCCCGCCAAATGGGTGGCCTGTGCTGCACGGACCTTTCAACTGGAGTGATGTTATTCGATCTGTCAGAAGCCTTAGTGAGATTTCAACTGTTCTACGGCAAAAAAGGTTTAGGAATGGGGCTCTGCAGCTCGAGAATTCCAAACCGGCTTTCCTTTTTGATGAATCTGGAACTCCGTATGATTTTGTGGTGTGTGGTAGGCAGGGCTCAAATTTTCTCGTTGAGGAGTTTATGCTGTTAGCAAATACGACAGCTGCTGAAATAATTTCTCGGGCGTACCCTAATAGCGCGTTGCTGAGGAGGCATCCTGAACCCAATATGCGTAAACTCAAAGAATTTGAAGCCTTTTGTTCCAAGCATGGTCTGGAATTGGACATTTCTTCTTCTGGTCGATTCCATGAGTCCCTGGAAAAAATCAGGGAGAAGCTCAAGGATGACTCGGCTCTTGTAGATATCTTTATCAATTATGCTACAAGACCGATGCAGTTGGCAACCTATTTCTGCAGCGGCGAATTGAGGGAAGATAATGTTACTGAGAGGGGACACTATGCACTTGCTGTGCCTCTCTACACTCACTTCACATCACCTCTGAGACGATATCCCGACATAGTGGTGCATCGTACGGTAGCTGCTGCTCTTGAGGCTGAAGAATTTTTCTCAAGGCACAGTAAAACATCAGGGAGAAGATGCTTTACTGGCATCCATTTTGATAATGATGCTGCAGAATCTATGGAAGGAAAGGAAGCTTTATCGATTGCTGCTTTGAAGCACGGTGTTCCGTGCAGTGAAATGCTAGCTGATGTTGCCGGGTATTGCAATGAAAGGAAGCTGGCTTGTCGTAATGTCAGAGATGCATGTGATAAGCTTTACATGTGGTTTCTGCTTAAGAAGAAGAGGGTAAGTGCTTAATTGCTTTTTATATGAAACCTGTAATTCTCTATGATGATGCTTGCTGTGAGTTTATGGTTGCTAAAATTTCTTTCCTTTTTTTTCTTCACTGCAGATTATCCTGTCAGAAGCAAGAGTTGTGGGCTTGGGACCAAGATTTATGTCTATTTACATTAGCAAGCTTGGTGTAAGTATAGTTTTCTCTCTGTTTGATCTCAGCCCCTGAAACCCTTTTGGATTCTAATGCTCGGAAATCGGTCATCTCACAGATTGAACGTAGAATTTACTATGATGAAGTTGACCTATTGACCACGGAATGGCTGGAGGGAACGTCCACGTTAATCCTCAGCATGCTCAAAACCAGGAGAGGTGGAAGAGGTAATAACAAGTTGTTGAAGGAAGTTGCTCATGTGTTGAGCCCTTATGACCTGTATGGCAGTGAAACCGACGAGTCAAAAGACGAAATTGTCCCTGCGGTTTTCCCTCTGACTGTTCGTCTTCTCGCAACCGTTCCCGTGGCCCTTCACGCAGTCGGTGGAGACGACGGTCCAATCGATATAGGAGTTAGGCTCTACATGAGTACATATCACAGTACATGATGAAAACAAGCAACTGGTGTGTATAGCTCTCAGATTAACAGTTGCTGGAGAGAAGAAAAGAGAGAGAAATCTGAGACAGGTGCCGGGACTTGGCCATTTTTATATTTTTTTCATTCGGCTGATCCCTGTTTTGTGTTGCCAATGGATTGCTGTGCCCAATATGTTTTAGGAATTGGGTCATCAAAAGCTTCTGTCTTTTGTTTTGTTCTTGGGACATATCCACTGTCACATTCAGGTAACATGGCATTTTCTGTTGTAAAAACAGCAAGAATGGATCTCTTTCTCTCTTTTTTTTTTTTATTACATGTGTTCCCATGGAGCAGGGAAGAGATCAAGAGACAACACACGGTTACATGTGTGTGTGTTTTTTGGGTTTTTTTTTATTAAAAAGAATTACTTTGAAATTTTCTATAAAGCCCAATATAATCTATAAACCTAACCCTAAGGGAATGAGTCCATTTTATAGGACCCAAAGTGGCATTCAAAACATACGTTTTATTTAGCCCAATTTTAGCCTAATCCCCATTCAATTGAGTCCCGCAATTCTGTTTTATGCATTGTGGTGCTATTCTTTTGTCCATACTTGAGACTAGGTTTACTATTTTTTTGGATTGAATATATCAAATTGAAATGAATTAGGTCGAATAAATAATTTGTTGTTTTAAAAACTAATTGGATATGACTCTCTCTAAATCAAAAAATTAATTGTATCAGTTTACTATATAATCAAACGGGGAACTAGTTTTAAAAATATATATAATGTTTTGGTGGTAGCGATTTATGGCTTTCCATAAAATGGTTATATGCCTAATTAATTTGAGTTCCCTATTAGACCAGATGTTGACCACCGGTGGGGTTTGAAATCTGAAAATTTTCTGTGTAAATGATACCGACATATTACCTTTGTTCAATTTTAAGTTTGATTTTCTTGTGTAATTTTATCTAAAATTATGTTTTTATTTTATTTTATTTTGATATATAAACAAACACAGATCATCACGTGTGGGGCCAGAATCTAAACTGGGTCCACAAATGATAAGCCCATGGGCCCCAGAGGGAGGTGACTGAATTCAATGAATTGAGGGAAAAGGCCATGGAGGAAACAAGTGAGAATGGGCTTTTTTAAATGTTAAAATAATATCGAAGAGCTTAAACCAAAGAAAGACCGGTCACGTGGCTTTCTCGTGTTCCATCTTCACCCTCGGCTTCATCCAAATTTGTTCAGATGTTCCTTTTGAGCCTTTGACCAATCATACCACACTATATATATATATATATATATATATGGGTGTGTTATCAAATCATACCACTATATATATATATATATATTGGCTAATTAAATAGATAATTTTGTAATGGCCGAAATATATATACATTTTTTTAATTCGTTTTGCACGATGCCCTTTTCTAAAAAAATGGTGTTTTTTTTTATATATATATATACATGTAGATTCTATAATAAATATGGCCAATTGAAATTGAATTCATATGGGCTCCTTTTACGGGAAAGGAAAATGAAAAAGAAAAAAAGAGAGAAATAATGAGTATGATATTTATCAAAAAATAAAATAAAATAATGAGTAGGATATATTTCAAGTTTCAATGACATGAACTTTGTCTTCAAGCAATATGTTGCATTATTTGGACATTGGAATCACCTCACTTCCGCACGACATATACCATATTTCGTCAGTGTAGTTTACTTTTTTTACTGCCAAAATAAGTAAATAAGTAATGTTATATGTCACTGATATTTTAATTTTACAAGCGTAGGTATATAGAACATTTAATTGTTTCTTAAATATTTTAGTTTGAGAATTGTATGATTATTCGATATATTATCTCGATCTAAGATTTATCTTTTTTTTAGAGTGAAATTGTTAAAAATCAAATTAATCAGATTAATCCCATAGGACGACAATCAACGAAAGTCCAATCAACGACATAATAATGCTTGTTGATGGGTTTCCTTTTGTATTATACGTAAAATTGTTATCTTTTATTAAACAGCTGATTACAGTGTGTGTATAGACATAATTGAAATTAACACATTCCACATTTTCTTGTACAATAATCGAACTTTAAAGAAATGGAAATATAAAGATACACATAAAAGACAAGAAGTGGAACAAAAAAAAGCCTTCTTGTCCATTAATATTTGCTTTGTCGTGTCTAAAACCCTAAACATATCAAACATTAATATATATATATATGTATGTATAGTTTTCATATGTGTAAGGTCATCGATCGTTAGAAATATATAATTCTCTTCAAGTAACATGAAACTTGAAGATGACCCAAAAAAAACGACAACTTGAATTAAAATAAAAGAAAGAATAAAAGAATAATATGCAAATAAAGTATATATGGTTATTAATAATGGACCGTCGGATCAACTGAAGCTCCAGAGCGGAATCTCAGCATCTTCGTAAAAGTCGTCGACCATCGTCGCCGTCGACATCGGTGGAGGAGAATAATCAAACGTAACATCATCAAACAAGAACACCCCATTATGAAGATGATCATCATCGACATGACCAAACCATGACGAATCCATCAATGAAACTCGCTCACTGCAGTCTTCTAAAGACCCCATCAATGATGATAGCAAGACATCATCGTCGTCATCATGCTCGGATGGGGATGATGCCGCTGACGATGATGATGGCTGATGATGATGGTCATCACGGTCAAGGGTAGGGGCAAAGCGGTCAAAAGAGGAGGAGTTGGCGGCTTGGGCAGCGACCTTTTGGATGGATCTAGGGGACAAAACGGTATTTTCGTCGATGTGAAGGGAAGAAGAAATGTTTGGGAAGTTGAGATTGGCTTTAGGGCCTTTGAGGCATAAGAGCGCAGCATCGTAAGCCCTAGCAGCTGCTTCAGCGGTTGAGTAAGAACCCAACCAGATTCTTGTCTTCTGATTCGGTGCCCTAATTTCAGACACCCATGATCCCCAACTTCTCATCCTCACTCCCTTGTACTTCTTCGATGGCGATAAGGGCACCGCCTTTTTTATCTTGTTCTGGATCTTAGGCTCTGATTTCACCATTGTATACCGTACAGGCGATATATATATAATCAATCTGCGTGTGTGTATATATAATGGATATGGATAATGTGGTAATGTTTCTAGTTATTGGATTTGATTATAAATGAGGAAGTGGATCTATGAAAAGGATGTTGTGGAGTTTGCTTGTGTGGGGATGTATTTTTGGGTTGCAATATGAGGTGATGCGGGTATGAGATTGATATATATAGAGATGGGGGGTCGAGAGTTAAATAATCGAATTAATAATTTTATAAAATAATATGGTCAAATGAAATAGTATGGTTTCTTATGTATGAATGAATGAATGTGACGTTTTTGGTGCATGACAGTTGTTGGTGTTCATTTTCTCCGCACATAATATTTAAAATGAATGGCTTGGATTTTGTTTATTCGCGTAATGTAACATCATGGTCATGGCATGGTTACCATGATGGATAAACAGTTTTGTTATGCGCGTATAGATTTAAATTCGAGAATATTGGTCCGGAAAAACAAAAGGGTAATATTTTTGGGGGAAGAAATGATGATGTGTATAGCTAGCTAGCTGTACGGAATCCACTTGCTGAGCAAATCGAGGGAGTCATGTATATAATATATAGTTGCCCAAGAAATTAAGGTTTGAGATTTTATGTTTTTTTATTTACTCGTTGGTCCATTTTATTTTGTGTGCGTTTGAATGTTTCAATCTTACGATATTTCGAAGAAAATGACCCAATAAAAAAAAGGGTGGTTATTTATTGGTGTATGTTTCTATAGTAAATTTATGCGTGTATCAAGCATCATATATATATATATATATACATACATATTCTATCATGAATTAATTTATTTGGAAGAAGTGCATTAATTTCTGAACTTATGCCAAAAAGCTAATGTATATGAATGAACAAGACCAAAACAGGATGAGGTTATTTTGAAAATTTTACCATCTTATAAAAATTCACACTAAAAATTAACATCATATAATTTTTAAACCATCTCAATTTGCAAGGTTAAGAATGAAAAATAAAATAAAAAAGGTAATCCAAAAAGAAAAATGACCCTTTTCCGTTGATTAATATTAAATTAATTATTTCATAGAGATTGTTTGACTTGCATCCCAAGCCACTTCTTTACACACATTCTCGTTCATACATTAAAAATCCATCGGTTTTAACTTTTATTCTATGGGTAAAATACAGTTGAGTATAAGTCAATATACATACGAACCATCACCAAAAACTTAAATTTAATAGAGAAATAATATGAATTTATTGACATTCAAAGAATATTCAAAAAAATTATATTATTATTTAGTTTATAAATGTTCATTTTATCAAAATTTAGACATATACATATTATTTTTTATTGATAAAATATAATAAAATCTATATATCCTTATGTAGGTCATATACATATATGTATATATGTTTATAGTATGGGATAAAAATAAAATATTTACATGTTGTGATATGTTTAGACAAAGAAGATATTGCAAGAGATCACGGAAGAAATTAATAATGAAAGGGAATAATAAAACATAGGATTCGGATCGGATGTGCAGATTGCAGAGGCAAGGCAGCTTCGTGAACATGTTAGGTCGAAAAACAATTAAAATAAATAAAAAACCTCAATTAAAAAAGAAAATGATAATATGCAATACGTAACACGGAATTTGAATAAAATATATTATTATTTATTTAATAATATTATTTTGGAAATTATGAAATCACACGCAGTCAAACAGTGTGAGTGAAGTGAGAGAGTCACTTCAAAGACACAGCTGTTGCCTCTCTGTCTTGCAGCCCGAAACCGCGTTTTGGTTTTTTATTTATCTTCCTCGCTCTTTAACATATATATATATATATATTCATATTTATCGTTAATACATGCACATTATTGAATATACAAAATATTAAATATATAAATGTCATTTAAATATTTTTTATTATCTAGAAAATTATCGTGCCTTCGCTCAACATATATGTATATATATAAATTCTGAATATTATTATCGTTGATTGGCATATGAAATTTATGAATAGTAAATTGCTTGTTAGTATATAAATACAAGTTTTTAAGTTTACGGTGCATGAATTTGAAAATACGTATTCTGGTTGACAGTTTTTCTAAATTTTTTCGGCAATCCGTAAACAAAAAAATATGATTAATATGATCATTTTAAGCAGACACGTGAATAATCGTAGGATCAAATTGGAATGATGATAGGACCATCACAAATAACAAACAAATGCATGCAATTTACATTAATAGTAAAAAGAAATAGAGAAAATATACAGATAGAAGTACAGTACGTTAATGCAAATAAATTCGGGCAGACAAAATATACAGCTAGATCCGTACGTCATATCTGGTCATGTCTTCTTGTACATTGGAAAACTCGAAGTGTGATTAAAAATATATATATATTTTTTTTGAAGAGCATTGTCGTGGTTTTGAGATTAATGCCCATTGCATTTCTTTGGCTTAGACAACACACTTTACGTAGGCTGACATTTTTCCTTTTAATTTTTTTTATTATAAAATGTGCATCTATTAACCTAAAAAAATTACTGATTGTAGTTTACAGAACCGTTTTAAAATCGGTTAATAAAATAAAACTTCCATGTCTATTACTTTCCGAGCAAAAAATATATCAGGGAGGCCTTGTGATATAGTACCAATACTGTAGTAACAGATTTTCACGAGGTTGCATGCTCGTTTGGCAAGATAAGATAATGTTCCGAACTAGCCGGTCCAGTTTTTGAATGAAATCTGGCAGTCGAGTGCTCTGTGCGCGGAAAATCCTGCTATTTCTCTCCTTTTAAATTTCATATTATAATTTATTCTTGAAAAAAGTGAGGAGTCCACGAGTAGTGAAAGAAATTTTGGATATAGTTTTTTTTTTAGTTTTGGTTTGGACTCATGAAGTTGGATTTTAAAAAGTTTTTTTTTGATAATCGGATGTATGTAGCCGAAGTCCAGACTGATTTTAGGGTGGGGAGCAAATCATATGATTAAAAATTGTATTCTCCTCCTCAATTTAATAATCAAACTCAGAACAGAAAAGATCAATTGTATCCTTATTTCACCGTTTAAACTATTCAAATGTATTATACTAATACCAAATAATATATATATAAGTAATATTTTTAATTACTTCAAGACAAGCGAGAGAACATGGTGATGATGATGATGATGATGATGATGATGGAGCAAAGAGAGTATGGGATGACATGTTGTGTTTGAGCAAAGAGTCCTCTAGGGTTAATACTCGAGAGCCTTCACACTTTGGTCCAAAGCAATAACCCTAAATGGAAATAAACAGACAATGCGTATAGGTTTTAATCACAGCTACACCACACCACACTCACACACATATACATACATACATATATATATATATATATATATATTATTTGCGTATTAATTTTGCAAGAAACACTTGTATATTTTTTGCATTAATTGAAGCTGCTTCCAAAGTTCAAACCCATGCTTTATCTTAACGTAGATTTGTCAACTATGGTTGGCTGTGAGGAATCCAATTAAGAGCTAATTTTAATTTTACCTTTTTCTAATTCATATTTTTACAGCCATGCATATATGTAAGTATTTCCTTATACAGGTTTCTATCCACGAGTGAAAATAACATTCAGAAAGAGAGATATCTGCCATTCGTTCCCACGCTCTCTGTCTCTCAGCTGGCACCGTACTCCCTCCGTACACTCTGAACAACGACATTGCTATATATATTGATTTTCTCTATTTCCCACTATCGATTGGGTAAATAAGTGAGTGGAGAAAATTCTAGGAAAGTCGAAAATTGGATTTGATAATATTTGGTTCAACTACCAAATCCTTGCATTTAAACAAATCAAAGTGCTTTTCAGCTTTTTTCGATTTTGGGTAACATCACATGATTATATATACATATCATGAATCGATTTTTAATTTTTTTTTTATAATAATAATAATTCAAGTTGAATAGATTTATTAGTTTGATATTATCTGTATGTTATAATTAACATAATATTAGTTTTTTTAATTTATATATTTAAATAATTAAAATTAATGTATAAAACCTACCATATATTCAACTAAAATAAAAAAAATTCATATAATAAATTGGCGCCCTCGCAATTCATTAAAAAGAATACATCTAGTTTTTTTTTAAATTCATATCTTATTAAATAAATTGCAAAACAAATATAGAAATGTAATAATTTTCCTCCACGTTGATCTAAATAACAATGGTAGGATAAACAATGAATAGTGCAAAGCATATGGGCCAAAATGTTGTTATTGTGATGGACTTTAGACGTGTGTATATATTATAACCCATAGGCCCATAGATTATATTTGGGCTTCAAATCTAGGAATAATATCGTCCCAAATTAATGAGCTCTTTTAGGAATTACATAAAAGTAAGGATAATGATTTTTTTTTTAATGTTTTTGGATTTTTGGTTTTTAGTCTTTCGACTTACTTTTTAAATAAAAACAATGTTTTTGAATTTTAGGTTTTTTAGAAAATAAATTCAATAAAGAACTAAATTGATTTTTTAAAAGTAACCTGAAAAAATCTTTAATTTTGATTTTGTATTGCTTTTTTTTTAATTCGGAGAAAATACCACGAAAAACTTCCAATTTTCAAAAAAAAAAAAAATCTGGACTTTTCACAGCTAAAATAGTTGAAATTATTTTTCACCGGAAATCTTCAGCTTGCAATTTGCTTTCAAATTTATCCGTTGAGTGAAGAATCAAATCGCAAATTGGAAGTTTTGTGTGGAAAACATTGTTAAATTAATAGTTTTTAGTGAACATATATAAATTTAGGATCTTTTTATGAAAAATATTTTTGCAAGTTAGATTTTTTACCTTTTATTTTTTTCCGGAGTTTTTATTTTATGGAATGTTGTTATATAAAATAAAGCTTATAAATTATCAGAAGGTTAGACCATGGGCAAAGGCCACGCGCACACGTGGGTAAGCAGTGAGGCGCGTCGCAGAACGTCCAAACTTGCATTAAACTTGCCACGTGGTTTAATATGATTGGAGAAGCTTACGTCGACATCAAATCACCTGCCCATCTATCTTCCTCTATAACTTCCCACGCGCGCGCGTGAGTTTGTCTTTGTGTGTCTTCGTTTGACAATTTTTCTGGGCTTTAGACCCGACGACGACGCAAAGGAGAAGAGAACCTGTGTTTTTTGGTTCTTCAATGGCGACGAGAGGATCGGTTATGTCGCGAGCTCTTGCTACGGAATTGGTCGTGTTGTTTCTCTGTTTGACTTTTCATTGCAGCAAAGCTATTTGGTTGTCGATTCCGACGTCGGGGACGAAGTGCATCTCCGAGGAGATACAGAGCAACGTTGTTGTTTTGGCCGATTACTATGTCGTCGACGAGCATAATCCTAATAACTCTCCCACAGTTTCTTCTAAGGTGCGATTTCGATTGTTCTGTAGAATCTTCGAGAGGAAAATTCAATTCTGTGAAGCGATTGCTTAGTTCAATTTCGTGGGATTGAATCTATTTGGGGTTCTGCATGTTCTGTTTCTCCGAATTCTCGTGGTAGTTTAGAACAACTCTTTAATGTGTTTCTGCATTTGAGATTCGAGATTTGGCTATTGCTTGCCAAACGGAGTCAATTTGTGAAGTTTGGATCCATAGGAGCAGGGAATTTGGACATCACATATGCTTTATGTGGTTCTTCTGGTTTTGATCGATGATAGAGGAGATGATCTTTTCAAACATACGTTTTTTCCCCAATTGATTTGTATGATGAGGGAAATCATAGCAATACTTGGGGTTTGATAAAGTTGTCATTTTTTTTTTGTCTAATGTCTCTGATTTACTTCTGTAGGTGACATCTCCTTATGGCAACACCCTCCACCACCAAGAAAACGTAACCCATAGTCAGTTTGCATTCACCACTCAAGAATCCGGAAATTACTTGGCCTGTTTCTGGATTGATTCGAGTCAGCATCAACAAACCACTCCCATAACCCTTGGAATCGATTGGAAGATCGGCATTGCAGCCAAAGATTGGGACTCTGTTGCTAAGAAGGAAAAGATGGAGGCAAGCTAAATTACTCCTCTTTCTCGCCATTTCTAATTCTTTCTCTCTCGTGTGTGACACGGGTTTGGTTTCGTTTCAAACGGGTCTGTACAGGGTGTTGAGCTTCAGTTAAAAAGACTCGAAGGATTTGTGCAGGCAATTCATGAAAACTTGAATTACCTCAAAGCCAGGTATATGCTTCTTTCCACTGCTAAAACAGAATACTCGGGTTCTCGAACTAGAACATAACAATGGATTGTTGAGACAGGGAGTCCGAGATGCGGGAAGTGAGCGAAGTGACCAACTCGAGAGTGGCTTGGTTCAGCATAATGTCACTCGGGCTTTGCCTCTTGGTTTCGGGTTGGCAGATATGGTACTTGAAAAGATATTTCCAGAAGAAGAAACTTATCTAAAACACATACCATTAAGAGAAAGAGAGGGATTTAGATCAATACTGTAGAATCATTATAGACATGACAGAGAATTTTACAAAGTTGTACCATTTTATTTCCAATGGTTGTTTCCGACAACAAAATAATATCTTTCTCATTTACCCGTGTATGATTTCTGTTGGATATACAACTTCACAAACACTTGGTTTCTATTTTTGTTTTCTGTTCTTTCCCCTCTATAAGCCCGTTTTCTATAAATAGCAGTCAGTATCTGATGTGGCGAAGCGGCCACCAATGCAGTTAAAGGTCTGGTCGGAGAATCGAAGATGAGATTGTGAAGATATATTATCTTTAGGGACACGAGTTTTCCTGTCTAATGCTTATTATATTGTCACGTTTTTCAGAATATTATTACACTTGGGAAGCAAGGGGTTTACCTTTTGTTGTTCTTCCTTACGCATTCCAACCGAAGGTTTGGTAAAAATCCAATCTCGACTCTCTAACTGATGGCTCAAGAACAACAACTAAAACCCGAAGAAGAAAAAAATCGTTGATATCTACGATCACACTGAAGCAACCAATGATCAGAACTAAAACCGAATGCACAAGTTTGGTAACAAAAGAATTTCATGAAGCAGATAAGTAGACAAACAAATCAAGGTTCCATCAATGGAAAAAGATAAATACGCACAGAACAGAAGGCGCAGATAACCTTGCGTTGTCTAATGTTCACCAGTGAAAACAAGCAATAATGTCGGATCAAACAGAAAGAACAAACAAGAATGATGCAATGGAGATCAGAAAGGCAATTGGTGAGTGGCTCACTGAGATGGAAGCAGCTGAGACACTCCCGGCTGGACCGTTGGCTGGGTTTACTCCCGGGAGGAAACCGCTTGAAGGAAGAACGGATGACCTTGGAGCCGATGCTATGGGTCCTAAGCCGTCAAACTCGGGTGAAGGTGCTGGTGCATACATCATATCTTTAGGAAGAGTATCAGGTGGGGCTATAAGTGGAGTGAACTGTTTTGTTCCTGCATTCACCATTTCAGTTAATAATGAGTATTGGATTCATGTTTAAGTTCAGATACTATACTAACCCCTGATTGTTTCGATGAAATGCTTAAACTTACCTGGGCATCGTGGTTGAAGAGACACCGACAACCTAAAGTTTAAAAGGGAGAGAAGGGTGAATGGTGATTCGATTGTAGCCATTAAGAGGGCAAACGATAAGAGGACATTATTCTAAGCGTATCTTACGTAGTCAAGATGGTTCCATTGGCAAAACCATTGTAACTGCAGGTTGTGACGTTACAACCGCCGGTGCTCTGCATTGACGTGATATTCCCAAGCATGAGATTGCTGTTTCTGCATTGCATGACGGAGCAAGAGACAGCCAGAGAAGCGGGCTCACAGTATAAGCTGCGCCATACCCACAAGATGACAACAATGAATCAATATGCTATAGCAGGATTAGCCCAATGAACTGAGTAAACTGATTGAGACCAAAGGGTTCTAGGAAATTACTCCAGGCTCCCGAGCGCACAGCTGCATTGCACACAGTGTCCTGCGGTAAGAACATAACTCCCGTTCGGAACGATCAACCCGTAGTCTGAAGTGTACTTTGGGAAATTTGAAGCACAAGCTGATAGGCATTATATGCAATAGACATTATCGTCAGTTACTGTCCAGTAATAGCAGGAAACTTGGGCAAAAATGATAAAGCAACTTATAGACAGTTTGAAGACTCATGCAATTTCCAAACCTATCCTATACAGTTACTAAGAATGAACTTAAGTATACTAACAGTAATCAGCAGAACAAACTAACTTCTTGAAAATAGTAAGAACCAGAAAAGGACACTAAAACTAGAAACTCTTTTCTGTCGGAAGCATCCCTTCATAGACCACTAGGAGAGCCATGTTCTTGCTAAGATAATAGAACAACATAAGTTAAAGTCTTCCATGGAAACAAGAACGAAACAGGCGTAGAGGAAGCATAATTGATATCAGAGGATTCAAACTTGAAACCCTTTCAGCGAAGGAAAAGGACTTAGACCACACCTGTTAATGGCACGGCGAGAATGTCCCCGGCTTTAACATCAGGAGCTCCCATGGCATTAACGTTCATCAAATCGGTAATAGTGGTCGAGTACCTTCTCGCGATTCCCGTCAAGGTGTCAACTTCTCTCACCATATACGACAGATATACCGCAGGAAGAGAATTGTCAGTGCCATTGAAGCAAGTGCAGGGCAATGGAATAACAAGGTTCGTCCCGACATCGAGGACTGTTGGGTCAATCACCGAGTTCGCCTCCTGGATCTGCTCTGCCGAGACAAGACCGCCGTAAACGGAGTCGGCAATCGATCCGAGGGTGTCGGAAGGGCGAGTCTTGTAACGGGTCGACACGGATTTGCGGATACCGTCGACGCAGGAACAAGTAATGGGTATCTTCATGAAGAGCTTGGCGGGAAGGATATGGTTCTCGACGTCTGGGTAAGAGATGTCAATGGCGTTAGCCAGGAGAACGGAAATGGGGTCGACTTGGAAGAGAGAAGCAATCTCGGAGACCTTGAGGTCGGTGTAGAGCGTGTAGCCGAGCATGGCGTTGCAGGTATCGTTGTTGGAGCACGGCTCGATTGTGGATTTCGCCGTTGCCATGGCCGCGAAACTGGAAGCTAGAATAAGAAACAAGAACACGGGTTTTTCTGGGTTTTTCATTTCGATCAACAAGTTTCCCGATTTCTCCCAAGTAGAACAGGAAATCCCAAACGGTTTTACGAAATTTAAACTCTTCTAGATTCTCTCTCTCTCTCTCTCCAGAACAATGCCGGTGTCTGCTGAAAGTACAGCTAAAAGATGAAGCTTGGAAGCAAGAAATATCAAAACTTTGGGGGATTTTCTCGGGAAAATTTCTGGGTTTAGGGTTTGATTCGGAAGAGGGAGAGATTTATTCTCCGGTTTTCTCCTCCTTAAAGAGGAGAGAGAGGAAAGTTCACTTTTTTGAAAGAGTAGAGAGAGAGAGGGTAGCAGACAAGTGTGTTGCACAGAGCGAACAGACAACGGCAGCTTTACGATCTCCGAGACAATAACATCTTTTTTCTTAATGACTGATTTGCCCCTTATACAAACCGGTCGGTTCAATCAAACCGGTTTAATGAATCGCTTGGATAATCGTTGATTCAACTTCATATCACGAATTAATGGTTTTATTTATGTATCCAAATTCATTTTGAACCATCAGACGTGTACCCACATTAAAAAAATCATCAGTAAAAAATATAATAGTGCATAATATTTTATCCCTAACTCAATTACAACTAAACAAATTCGAGCATATTAAATATGCATTTTTGAAAATAAACATACGACAAAACTTCAACTCAATCATGTTTTGTGATAAAACATATTTTATTTAAATAAAATAAAAATACTTTACATAAATCAAAGGAGATAGAGATAAATACTTCATCTAGATTAAAACCGGATTTAAATTTCTTAGGTAGTACCAAGTTCGGGTAGGTTTTACAATAACCCGAACCGAATGGCATTATTGTAAATTAACAAGTTGAGGCCCACATAAAGCCCATCTTTACTTTTGAGGATCCAAAGCAAAGAATAAAGCCCTGTTTGGATGGATTTTCATTGCAAAGCTAATGTAAAATCTTTGGCTGCAATAGAACAGGGGGAATCATATAACAAGGAAGTCATATATATTTGCTATAACCAGAAACCCAAGACAAAAAAAAGTTACTTCTCTACAATCTGAGGTCGAATAAAATAGCATAACTTAAAAAAGTTTCATGTTCATTTTCATGGATGATAATAATGAAATGTTCATGAATCATATGACCAAATCCACCATCCATGTATCTGAGTAGTACTAAATTCTCTCTGCAGTATCAGTAGTATCAGTTTCACTTACAGTAATAACTGTAGACCTCAAGAATTGCAATGCCATCCTTCAGTCTTTACCCTCGGCTTTATCGTTGACAAGAGGGAGCAACTCCATCTTGTTCCTCGGGGTCCTCGGGGTCCGAGGTGTTCGAGGAGTTCCAGGTGGTTGCTGGGAGAGCATATGCCTCACATATCCATAAAACGTGCAACCGATGAGCGTTATTCCACATCCAACAGCGTTCATTCCCGAGATCGGGTTACGGAATATCAACCACGACACTAGAACCGCCACTGCTACCTGCAAAAACACAAGTAAATACCCACATGAATTGGATGAAATATCCAATGCAAAAAGTCCCGGATATGTTTCACGGGGAAAAGAGAAACTGCCAGCCGACCCCAAGGAGCTGAGGCCGAGTAGGGATTAGTAGTTTGGGATTTCTTTTATTTCTTGTGGGTTTTGGATCTGTGAGGGATAGAACTAACTGATGATTACCTTAAGGTTTCCCGCTACGTTGAATGTGACTGCTGTTGTTGAGTGAATGACATAGAAAATGGAGAAGTTGAGACAGAAGGCGAGCACACCAGAGCTGAAAATTATCATGAGGGCTGACCAAGGAGATGGGTGAGCTTGAAACCAATCCACTATTCCATTGCCTTCAAGCAAAATGGCCGGTATCCCGAGAATCATAGTGGCAAATGGTGCCATGTAGTATACTGTGTTTATACTACACGGAGACAAATAAAACGGGAGAAGAAAAAAGTCAGTTCCATAGGCGGAAAACAGAGAATCTGATCAGATCTTTCTCATTCATAGACAGATACTATTCAATTAGTTTCCAAAGTCTATGACTTTATGTCAATGTGACCTCAGCACGAGAATAGGTTACACATCTCCTAAACCGGTTTTGTAGAGTCTGCAAGCATGATGAATGCATATCAAGCCCAACAAGGAAGAACCACCAGTAAGACTAAGAGTATCACGGCAACATCTCGGGAAAGAAAACTCGAAGAAGAGACCCAGAAAAGAGCAGTAACCTGTCAAACTTGTAACCATGGAGAAGAGATTCGGCAAGAATGGTCTTTGTTGAAGTAGCCAAACATCCAAATAACGCGGCACAGAACCCGAATATGTTAAAACTAAGCTCTGTAACAGAGGTCAAGAGGATTCCTCCGACGATGGGAACCAGTGCCGCCCATATACGCCAGTCAAAGTATTTCCTCCACACCAACCACTGTAACACAACTGCTCAAGAAATACCCGAATGATCAGTAATTATCACTCATTTCAGTTCATGATTCATCTCAATGGTTCAGCAAAACCCAACCTGTGGTTGCAGGAGTGAAGGATTTTATGGTCTGCATGAACGAAACCGGGATGTAACGAAGGCTGACATTTCCCAATACTATGTTGATACAGAACACGAAGGACATTGGGAAGATCCTTCTCCACCGGTCTTCGGGGTCAACCACGATCAAAGGTTTAAGCTTCAGCACTTTGATCACGACGTAAGCTCCGATGGATGAACATATGAAGTGAACACACGACACTGATAACGGAAACTTGAAATCCAGTTTCTGCAAAGTTTTGGATTCATTTTTTGAAGTATTATGTATCCTCAATACGATTCAGACATGAACACCGCATATCAGATGAAGCAAATTGAAGGATTTGTATCGAATTCAAATGAACAACAAAAACCAACAATGATCTCGAAAATTTGAAATTCCAATGTGTCGATCAACAAAGTGGAACAAACACTACAAATCCCTAGCAACCCATATCAGATTTAGAGCACGGATCGGATCAAAACAATACATGAAAACGTAAACGGGTTGAATTCAGCAGCATAAACCCATATCATCGAATTGGATGAGAATGATGGGGAAACGATACCTGGAAGATCCATTTGTTCATGATGATAACAGTGACATTGAAACCCCACCATTGTAGAATCGCTAACAGAGATCTGACCATACCCCACTGCAACAGATTACCGCCCTCCTCCATATCTCTCTCTATCCTCTTATCTCGCGGAAAAAATTCTTGCAATTACAGAATCAGAACGACGAAACAAAAAAAACCCACCAAAATTCACAGGTTTTAAGAAGTGAATCAGTGGGGAAAACGGAGAGAGAGACAAGAGCCCAGATGCGAAGCTGAATAGAAAGAGGCAAAGGGGAGAAACATAAAAAACCCTAATGAGAATGAGAGGAGAAGAGGGTAACGGTGGAAGTATGCTCTTCTTCCATGTGATTTGTTTCGAAATCTTCTTTGCTCATCAATCTTAAACGTCTCTCTCTCTCTCTCTCTCTCTCTCTCTCTCTCTCTCTCTCATGCCATGAAAATAATGTTTTTTGCTTTTCCGTAGGTTTCCATAAACAAGGAAAAAAACCTTTTTTTATGTGAAGAAAAAAGAGCTTCCTTTTATTTCCTAGTAATTCGTTCTCTAGTATGTTATTTATTTCTAATCAAAATTGTTTTTGAATATATTTTGTGATCTTATATTCAAAACTAATTTTGAATGTCACTATTTTATAAAGATTCACATGTTAATCTTAATTGACCCGTAAATTGGTTAATAAATTTTTTTATACATTTGTAAAAACGAAACAGAATTATTTTTCAAGGAATTTTTTTATACATCTGCTTGTTTTGGCAATATGAAGAACTACATTCTCTGTTTTTATATAAATATTTTTTTGGACTTTTCACGTATAGTAAAATTATAAATAAATATCTATAATGGCATCAATTAATATACCTATTTTCTTTTTGAAAAATATATTGTACCTATTTTAAAATATAATTCGTAAAAAATTTATATCACAACTGTAAAATGACACTTTTTGTATTAAAATTATAGAGAAATATTTGAAAATCGAATATATATATATATATATATATATTAAAAACTTACAAATAATTTAATATATATATATAGACAAGTGGATATTATGTAAGAAATAGACAGCATTTCCTAAAAAGTGTATGAACAACTTATTCTTGTTTATTATTTTCCCTACAACTCTTTTACGATATAAAAATGCATTTAACTTCTAAAA